TTAATCAGTTAAACATTTTAAACAACAAAGCTGTCAGGATCATGACTTTTTCTGAACCTCGATCCCATGCTCCACCTATCTACAAATTACTAGGTATTCTTCAAGTAAAAAACATTGTTTACACCCAAAAATGTACTTTTATGTACGATTACTTTAATAATAGGTTACCAGTAGCATTTTCTAATTATTTTACACACTCTTCAGAAATACATCAACATTATACTCGATATTCAACCCATAACTTTCATCTGCCATCTGTTTCTAGTAACTCAGGAAAATACTCATTAAAATTTTCTGGAATAAAAATCTGGAGTTCTCTTGATAATCAAGACAAATTACTACCTAGGAAATCTCTAATAAAAAGAATTAAAAAGAATTGCCTTGATACCTATTCCTAATATCAAATGTTTACTTACTATAATCAAATCAAACCTATTGTGTGTGATACAAATTGTTAATGTACAGTATGTGTGTATATATGTGTTTATTATATTTCTATATATATTTCTAAATTTATTTTTCTTTTGTATTATTATTTGCCTTTTTTAATTCATTGTTGTATATAGTTCTTATGGGGAATTGGCTCGAAAACTTTAGTTACTCCAATTCCCCAGCACCGTTCTCACTTTATTGTAATAATCTTGTCATTTTTTTTTTCTCGAGTGCAAATAAAATTCTATTCTATTCTATTCTATTCTATGGTGATATGTCATATAAATTGATAATTACCATATAATTTCTGGATAAATGAGTTCTCTTAATCCCTTAATGGAATACCTTTACATGTCCAGGAAACAGTCTTTGTGTTTCAACACGGTTCAATGACTGTGACTCATCGCTTGATTTTCAAAGTTGCAGTATAATTCGCTAAAGCTGAAGTGAAGACTCAGACTAATATCACTCGATCCGTATTACTATCAGACTAATGAAATGAGGTATCGATCGCTTACTTGTCAACCAAAACGTATTTTGGGTTTCTTCGAAGAAGATATAAAACCATACGTGCATTTTGCCAACCGGCAACGTTAAAAGATTACTGGGTTTAAACCAAACGTTATACGAAGGTGCGAAAGTAGAGATCAAATACGAAAAGGAACTTTACGAAGCACAAATTCTGAAAATTCACGGTAAGTTTAATGTTAGAAGTATAAATATCTAGGATTCTAGGTCTGCAACGCTTGTGTATAAGCATAAAAACGTGGTGTGAAATCGCTAACATGAATATTTTCCGACGCCCACGGTTTGTTTATGAAAAGCGAAGGGCGATAATTTCCGACGATCTACGAATAGAACTCTTTCTCAGCTGCGTCCTCGCCCGCAGACGCATGGCGCCCGCACAATGGACGCACCTGCAAGCGCCCGCAGACGCACAGTGGACGCATGATGGACGCACGGCGCCCGCAGGACGGACGCACCCCCGGGCGCCCGTGGACGCACAGTGGACGCAAGATACCCGCGTCTTGGACGCGGTTTTTGATAAGTTATTTCTTGGCAGTACTGTATTACGACAGGTGGGCGAGAGGAAACGTTTACAAAGAAGGTGATTTGGCAATGTGGAACAAAACGGAAGGTGTATGAAGTTGGACAAACCATGGACGGGCCCATGGAAAGTTATTAAACGCCTAGGGGAAGTTGTGTACAGAATGAAGTACTGTACGTGGGCTCTAACAAGGTTGGGTTGAAGCGAAGGATTGTCCGTCACAATCAGTTGAAAAGATTCTACGAGACCACAGGATCGCAAGAGGAACCTGTACAATCGGAACAAATTTCTGGACAACTCGTAGCCAATGATGGTGATACAGTTGAAAGATGTTGTCACTGTTGTCGACGGACCAGGTGCGGATGACGAACACGAGATACAACAACGAGAAGTCGAACCTGTGGTTTTGGAACCTGAAGGAAGACCTCAACGACAATTGTAGACCACCTGCCTGGCTTGTTCCGTATGAAATTAACATTTAACCTGTGGGACACAGTTCAGTTTTGGGAAAGGATAGTGTAAGGACTGAGAACTAATCAGTAATAACTGGGACATGCACACTACGACGGTGTTGTGTTGGCGCTTGTTGTGTGATTCTTGAAGATATATTTTTGCTGTTTTATTTTGTTCTCAATAAGTATATAACCATTTATTGCTTGAGTTTACATATACGGTAACTCAATCCACAAATTTGCTAGGCAATTATAATATGTTTGACATTGCCATACATGTAGCTATTTTGTATTGATAAAATTTTGTACTTGCACTCCCTTATTCTTATACAGGGTGTATAAAAAAAAACTGAACAGATTTGAAATTGCTCTCAATTTCGCAAAACACCTATTTGTATCCGTTTTTTATATATATAGCTTCTTTGGGTACTTATAATGTAGAATAATGAAAAAAATTTCTCAAACTGAAATTTTGTGATCCAGGGGGGTGTGTCTTTTCCAACAAACTAAAAATGGCTCGCGCACAAAATTTAAAAGTTGTAATCATATTTTGAGTTAACAGATGGAAACTCTGTTGGGTTTTTAATTACTGTACAAAATTTCAGACAATTTGGTTAAGTTTAAGCCCTTTAACTATTCATTTTATTCTAAAAAATCAGCCTTTCGCATGCTTAATTAATGCCTTTACCTAATTTGCATATTGTCAACATATGCAAATTAGGCAAAGGCATTAATTAAGCATGCAAATAGCTGATTTTTAGGAAAAATGTAACTTTGCGCGAATAGTTAAAGGGCTTAAACTAAACCAAATTGTCTGAAATTTTGTACAGTCATTAAAAACCCGACAAATTTTCCATCTATTAACTCAAAATATGATTACAAGTTTTAAATTTTGTGCGCGAGCCATTTTTAGTTTGTTGGAAAAGACACACCCCCCTGGTTCACAAAATTTGAGTTCAAGAAATTTTTTTCATTATTCTACGTTATAAGTACCCAAAGAAGCTATATATATAAAAAACGGATACAAATAGGTGTTTTGCGAAATTGAGAGCAATTTTTAAATCTGTTCAGTTTTTTTTTATACACCCTGTATATCTGTTAAATGCTAATATTCAACAAAATCATAATTCTATAACTACATTATTACAGTACCGTATATGATAATAAATAGCGATAATTACAATGTGTCCAGTACGTGTAATATATTTAAATGCAAAACAAAAGAATGGGTATAACTTCGTAACTACAGTAGGTACATAATAACTGTAACTGTTACAAAAATTGCGCAACTTTTACAGCACTGCCAAAATGAGTTTGCATGGGCAGCTGACAGCCTTCCATGGCGAATCAATCCCTAATTCCCTATGAAAGCACCCTACAAGTACTGTAGGTTTATCTCACATACATGACACAAACACTGACATGGCAATTCAATTTATATGCAGTGGTTAACTCACTGAGTGCCATCACTCTCCACTTGACAAGTAAAATTGTCTGACATTAGATAGGGCATATTAGGGCATAATGCATTTTACTGCTGGTAAAATTTATTACATATTTACTGCTGGTAAAATTTACATATTTACCACACTTTCTTGCCCTGAAATCATTGGGCCCATAATATTTCTACATATATCTTTGTTTCAATGGTCTTAAGGTCTTTACTCCAGTGTTTTCAATAAAGGGTAGTTACTGGCAGTTTACTGCTGCCTATTGGGCTTCTAAGACCTATTTTTGAAACACTACCTGCTATTACAATTATCACTCAAAACAATGTTACTGTACTGTAATTTCCATCTTTTTTCTATTTTGACTCAGTCTGTTATTTCTCAAAATAAAACATGCTTTAACATCTCACATTTCTTAGTTTTGGGCCTCCTTGCCATTATTTTGAATTCATAATGCTGCTCATGTACTGAAGAATCTTAGAATCTGATTGGATTATTGGCTGATGAACCTGATGCATAATAATGATTCATTACAATGCATGCATGACTACAACAACCAGAATGGGTCATTCCAGAAAACATCCACACCTCCAGTGGAAATGGAAAGTACAGTAAACCATCTGCCACTTTGGAGTTCCTAGTGCACATTATTATTGTCAAAAATGAATTTCCCCCTTCCCCTCCCAGAGGCACAAATTTCCTCAGAAGGGGAGCATGTTGATTATTTCTGGGACAACCCAATAGTCAGGGCCGTAGCAACCGGTGTGTGTGTGGGGTGCAACACTCCACTAATACAGTAGTAGCTCAAGAGCAATTTCAGGTAGGGCGTAAAAAAAAAATTACCTGTGGTTCCGGTTCCCGACCGACCCTATTATTTTTTCAACGCGATTGACCGTGCGACCCTATTTTCTCCAGGTGGTTGCGGGCTGCTGGTACAGCGTGCCAAAATGGCGTCTGTTATCACACTAATTATTGAACCAAATTGCCTAAATTCGTCCATAGGAAATACGCATCTCTAGTTAATATTGATGTCAGGACTCTACTGCAAATCGCCCAGCAAAAAAGCAGCAAAACCATGAAAAAATTATTAAAAAAAAAATTATTTCCGACCTACCGACCCTAATTTTTTCACAATCTGAAACCGGAACCACAGGTATTTTTTTTTTACGCCTAGATTTCCAGCAAATTTTTAGGTAAATTCAGGTAGATTTTAGGGGTGCACTGGAACCAATTTTTTAAGTTCCGGCCGGAACAGGATGTGGCCGGAACTGGAAAAAAGTTCCGGCCAGAACCAGAACTGATTTATTAAGCCATATATAGTCATATGTTACTTTGTCTGCTGCCAGACAGGCAGATACTTCAAGTCATCAAGGAGAGAGTTTGCAAATGTTATAGAATAAAAAGATTGACAAACATTAAACATCACAATCATGAAGTGTTAATGGTGTAGATTTTCCTTGTGTAGTCCAGATTTCTCCCTACTGTGAACTTTTGTTAGACACAAAAACGTTTGATATTCTATCTCTCTGAAAATAACAGAGTTCTGGTTCCGGCCATGTTTTTTTTATTAGTTCCGGCCGGAACCGGAACTCTGAAAAATCGGGGTTCCAGCCGGAACCAAGTTCCGGTGCACCCCTAGTAGATTTCCAATAGAATTTTAGGTAAATTCAGGTAATTCTGAGGGCATAATAAAGTGAATTTGGAAAAATAACTATATCTGTGAAAAAAGGTTTTGTATTTTCGTAAAAATTAATTAAGATATCTCTGCAAAATCTAATCTCAGGTAAATCTAACCTCCCCAAAGGCAAAGTCCTCGAAACGGCCTTGCCAATAGTTGCTAGGATTTACTAATTCCATCTCTATTAATTAGCCATTAAATTGCATTGCACCCTTGAAAATGTTCTCAAGTGTGTATTTCATAATTTCCACGGCACCGCACAAGATAGCAGAAAGATATCGCCTGCTGCGGCTGGGTCTTGAACCAGCAACCTTCAAATTGCTAGATTGACGCTCTACCAACTGAACTACACGGTCAGACGGATTTAAGACTGGAAATTATGAACTATATACTGAATGTTGTAAACATACTTGTTTTTATTATATGGACAATGGTGTTTTACTGGAAACTAAAACACTTGTAGAACTCATATGTCACTACATCCGGGGCCAGGTGCGCGTATTTTCCGTATTTCACCCCTGCTAGTGACATACAAAGTTTTGAAAATTTCCTGCCATTTTCACTGTTGTTGTTTTGAAAATACAAATGGTCTTTGGTTCGTATTACGAAACGAAATTAACGTTGGAAATAAAATGAAAACATTTAAAAGACATCTTGAGATAAGTAAAATTTATTCTAGTTTTATGTTTGCAGTATAATTTTAAAAATATCACTTTTATACTGGCCTTTCGCGTGCTTATTTACATGTCGTCTTTGTGTGTATTTTTGTCACTCTGAATAAGTCCATATAATAAACAGAACATTAAACGGTTGCGAGAAGATATGGATTTATGTTCTCGTGTCAAAAACAATATCTCACTCGTTCGCTGTGCTCACTCGTTTGATATTGTTTTTGCCACTCGAACATAAAATCCATATCTCTTCGCAACCGTCTAATATCCTATATATATTAATTCAGCATCAAACTATACTAGTTCTGCAAGTGTTGTGTTGTTGTTCACTCCATAATATGATAATGCATCCTAATGCACCAAACTTTATTATTTTACTCTGTCTAATGCCAGACAATTTTACTCGTCAAGGGGAGAGCGCTGATACTCAATGGGACGTTAATCAGCACAAGATGTATTGTGCCTTAATCTTAATGTGCCCTTTACTCTGTCTAATGCCAGATAATTTTACTTGTCGAACAACTATGAATCTCACTTTTTGGTACCAAAATAAATTTACAACTGCAGCTTTCTTACTCATCATATTTGCTTATGATGACGTCATTGCGCGCGAAGTAAACATAAATAAAATTTAGATTTGGCGGGAAACCACATTGAACCATGCATGAATATTTGGACAGTCATGATTTGAATTGATTTCATATCGAAATCTATCGGTTATTCCTATTTTTTAATACCTTAGTGTTTCTGAGACATCATGCGCCATCTTATTCATTTCTTCGTGTTCTTCTGACGGCACCTCCGGCTCGACACGATTAAATGAAATCGGCGCGCCATGACTGACTTGACGTTCAAAATTTGCCGTATTTTCAGCCATTGCTGTCGGCATTGTAGCAGGTAGTCTTATCTTTACAACTGTGATTTCATATCATGGAATGCATGGTATAACGAGGATAAAAAGGCACAAATTTTCAATGCTTGCGGCAAATTTATATGTCGTAGTCGAGGTCGTAGTCGAAATTGAATAATCGAATTGTTTATTTGTCGAATTGTCGATGTTGTCCAGTGTTTCCACAACGCACCATTCAAATTTCTTTGATTTTGCCTTAAAATTTCCTTGAATTTCCTTGAAATGGTGGGATGTAAAGCTAAAAGTTCCTTGCAACCTCGTTCCCAGGGCAAAAAGGCCCTGGGAACGAGGTTGAGTTCCTTGAAATTTTCTTGATTAACCGAGGATCAGCTAACTGAGCATTCAAAAACTTCTGCTCATATTTCTTCTTTTCAGGAATAATTTTAACATACCCACTGGGCACTGGCGCTATAGAGTGGCCAGAGGGAGGTCCCGGCCCCCATGGTAAAATATGCCCCTCCTTGGAAAAATTCTGACTAGTACAAGCATGTGCGTTATATTTTCATTTCTTGTAATGGAAATTTTATATCTTGCTATGTTTGAAATGTTCTGGATTCGTTTGTGATTAAGTAGAGTTAAGCAGCAAAATCGCAAGGATTTCTAGTGCGATTTTCTCCTTCTGATGGATGTGAACGAGTAGATGAGTTACGGAATGTTCGGAGTACATCAGGCATTAAAATAAGCGTGTCCTTGTACACACTTTGTGTCCTTGTAAAAGGCGAATGTGCCCTTGTGAAATTGAAAAATGCGTACTTGAAAATATATTAAACTAAAAGGGGGGGATAAGTCCCTTCTGCGCATGTGCCCGGCGTTTGTTTATGTTTTGATACATTACACATGTTATAACATGAAGTATTGGCATTTTATAACAATATTTTATCAAACATGGCGATTGAAATGAGCGAAACTTTATATAGTTCACTTGTTTGTGTGGTGGTGCCTGCTTTTTATGAGAAATATAGAAACTTTTGACTTGTACAAGTTTGAATAATTTTACTTTTGAACCGCATAGCGTGATAAACACGCCGAATCATGCATGAAGTATGATCAACCGACGAATATGAATTGCTCAATGCCCGATTGCTCTTTACTCAACAACAAGCTGACAATATGGAGTACAGAACAGTAAGTTTAATGGTTTATATGTTGTTTGTTGTTGATAAATTCTAGTCTGCATGTTTTTGCATGGATTAACGATATATGAGAGCTTATCTTTCGTAAATACTGCACAAAATATATACCGCATTTGAATTGTTAGTAGATATATTTTCATCTACAATTTATAAAATTGATATACGAGTTGGACAATATTTTAAACCAACTGCATGTCCTGGTTATATATAGCTAAATTCTTAAAGCATATATAATTATTTTATTTGCAAAGATTGAAATGGTGAACAAAACAAGTTTTGACTTTTTTCCCCATTGCTAGCAGCAGCCTTGTCTTTGCCATTTCTCATGCTATTGTAAATTATGCAATTAACCATGCTTCCATGCATTAGGACACTTTCTCAAACATTATAAAGGCAGATTGCGATTGGGACAAGCGGTTAATAGCATGAAGCATGAAGATCTCTGAAAGAGGCAAACCTATAGTCTGACTGCATTCTTTAATTTTGAGCCTTTCTATGCATGACAGGATTTAGTGTAAGATGTAAATGTTCAAGACTATCTGTGGAGAAAACATCGAATGATAAAGCTAATGGTGAAATTCAAACGGGTTGCTGACTGTAATGAGTGCCGCTGAGAGGGGGGGGGGGATTTTGGGCTTGGGAGTGATGGGACCCCAGATTGATGGGACCTCAGATGAAAGGGACCCCCCCCCCCCAAAGTCCCTTAAATTTTCTTGATACAAGATTGCTTAACCAATAATATAAATCCTAGCTGTGTCAGTGCTGGATAAATGATAATGCAATAAAGTGCAATATATTATAAAACACTGCTTCTCCTGTTTTACAATTATGACATAGGGACCCGTGGGAAAGTTTTTCCCTGTACCCCACACAACCTCTCGGTGTCCCGGACTGTTACCACCACCAAGTTCAACAATCAGATGGAAATCTTCATAGCTGGGGCTACTGTATACATTTTGTACCCATACCAACACAAGAAGGAATAAGTGTTTTTCAAAATGAAGGTGATATTGCATAATTATTAAGAGGACAAGACTGAACTCTATCAAGAACTCCCATCAAGAACCCCCATCAAGAACACTGTAATTCAAACAAAATGTTTTTGGCACAAATGTTCTGAAACAATAATTGCCAGGCATTATCGAGAAGATGTTCTTGTTTTAAATAACAACATAAACATGCATGCAAAACATCTGACATGCAGCATACAAACAGGATGCTATATGACAATGTCATAGCTACTGTGCCTTACCATAAATCCTCTAGCTATTGATATGCCCCCCCCCCATATCAATAGCTGTAATACATTTCAGTTTTAGAAAGGTGGGTGATGCCATGGGGACTTACATCTATTTTAGAGGGGGGGGGGGGAATAGGGGATTTATGGCAGATGGAATAATTGAAGGGTTGTTGCCTAGTCAACATTTGATTTCACTATTGTATGCTGGATACACTTCTTACTAGAATATCATGGTATAAAATAATATAATGTACAATGTCAGCTAGTGTTAATAATTTAATTAATGGCAGTTCTGAGTTGTCAGATCTCAAGACATATATTCCAATACAAATTCCAATATATCACCAGACAAATCTTGTGATATTGAAGCTCATTTTCAACTCCAGAATGCTAAAAGATACTACCATGCATTGCTTTTAATGAGAAAATAATATAGTAACTATAAAGATTATACAGTTGTCATATTTATTACTTCCTGAGGTGTAACTTCATGTACTGTGGGTGTATATCACAAAATCGTAAGAGTTCCAAGGCAACTCAACTATCATGATAATGACTATATACCTCATGCTACTATGTTTCAGCCTACAGTATGAACGTTTTCCAATACTAAAATAAAACTTTGCATGCATATACAAAAATTTATCTAGCTTGAAAGTTCGATAATTTTATACAACAATCATGCTATGTGAAATGGCATACGCATACAATGTTAATATAAAGATTTATATTCAGATATCTGGTTATAGATTACAAACAATTGTATATAGTAAAATAAATGTAGAAATAAAAATAAAGTTATGAAGCCGTCTTGAATAATAGCGCATCAATAAAAATATTAACAGTAAATTGTACTATTGTAGTTATGGTTTCAAATCTCTTGACTTTCTTTGCCGGGGACGAATATTCGATCAGATCTGATAAATAAATATTAAATACATAGTCAGCATATAAATCCAATGCAATAGAATCCCAGCATAGAATTTCTGACCAAAATTACTATTTAACAACAGTTAAAACCCAAGTATAAACAAAACATTTACCTGAATATAAAAGACATCGTAGCAGACAACACATGTCGATTGGGCTATTCCATTTAATATCCGTACCCCCCTGTCGAGGATACATGTTTTTCATTGTCATACCCCTGAAGAATTCCAAGCTCAAAACTGTTTACCCTGAAGAATTCCAAAATTCCAAGCTCAAAACTCTTTACCCCTGAAGAATTCCAAGCTCAAAACCTTTTACCCCTGAAGAATTCCAAAATTCCAAGCTCAAAACCCTTTACCCCTGAAGAATTCCAAGCTCAAAACCTTTTACCCCTGAAGAATTCCAAGCTCAAAACCCTTCACCCCTAAAGAATTCCAAGCTCAAAACCCTTTACCCCTGAAGAATTTCAAGCTCAAAACCTTTTACCCCTGAAGAATTCCAAGCTCAAAACCCTTCACCCCTGAAGAATTCCAAGCTCTGAAAAATTTCAATCTCAAACCTCTTCACCCCTGAAGAATTCCAAGCTCAAAACCCTTTACCCCTGAAGAATTCCAAGCTCAAAACCATTTACCCCTGAAGAATTCCAAACTCAAAACACTTTACCCTGAAGAATTCCAAGCTCAAAACACTTTACCCCTGAAGAATTCCAAGCTCAAAACCCTTTACCCCTGAAGAATTCCAGGGATCCTCGACAGGGGGGGTACGGATATTAAATGGAATAGCCCAATTTTGATCACAGGTATTCACAGCGTGCTGCACTGAATATCGCACAAACGCACTTTTAGGGCAGCTTTGCTGGCGTAATATTCTTTCCGTGTTCTCTTGTTGTTTTATATGTTTCTATAATTTACTAATAGGTGGATTTGGTTTCATAAAAGTCGCAAATTTGTTGAAACCTTTTCGAATTCTATATAAATATTTTACATTCACTCCTCATCACCTCATGTGGAATATAAACATCGCGCGTGTATATCGCCAATTATGGGACTGGAAACGAGAGGTTCATTTCCGGTGGAGTCCCCTGTAAACAAACGCCGGGCACATGCGCAGAAGGGACTTATCCCCCTCTTTAATGTAATCCATGCAAAATGGCCAAAGATTTTGCAAATTCTGTTCCCAGAACTCTGGAAATGCCATTTCAGAGACCCCCTTAAAAGCTCGCGTCTTCGACGCTAAACTGTCTAAACTTGTGGCTAATTCGCCACTCGTTCTCGTGAGTCTGCGGATGCATTTATACCAAAAATACGCCTCTGAAGGCAAAGTGTGTCCTTGTAAAAATTCCGTATTTTAATGCCTGGAGTACATGTACCCTCATCTGAACATTCATAACTTATCCACTCGTTCACATCCATCAGAGGAATCGCAGCAAAAATTGCAAGTGTAAACGAGGCTCTTGTCGGGTGCAAGTATTTAGAGATTATTTTGTCTTTTTAGATAGTATTTTGTCTTTTGCTTTTGATTTGTACGTACATCGGGCGTAAAATTCATCTTCCTACCTCTAAGTATATCTACGTTTTTTTTTATATTCCTCATTCCAAATTTTATGAAACTTCCATTCATGATCATGCTTAATTTAAATTAATGTTAAAATATTCTGTCAAAATCTGAATGGCACAGATCTATTGTAGCCTCTTAAACCGTAACAATGGCTTCAGCAAGTTGAGTAAATACAGGAAGACGAAATAAACTAGAGACTACTAGTGTCTATTTACTGCAGTTAAAATACATCTTCCTAGATATGTTGCTGTATAATTTGTCACAGTACAGGAGTGCAGGCATTTTTATAAACTGACGTGTACAAAATCGGTCAAAAACTGCGAGGGAAGTTCTGTCTCTGCATGTAAATTGCATACAAATAATTCGCTTTTTTGTTTGGCCATGCATACGCGTGGTATTCACGTGGTAAAAGACACGGAACGCATGCATGTCGAGTATCGTGGACTGCGGAGTGGCGGTGTGCTAAGCTATAGTATCATATATATAGAACAGCCGAGCAAGGAGTGCGCGGTGTGCGGAGTACTGAGTCAAAAAAAAATGTTTGTATATAATCTGGGCATTTGATTTTACCTATAGTATATAGATTTCGTGTTTTCTGTACCATTTCAGACGAATTGTATGAGTTCATAGGTAAAATCAAATCATTCAAATGCTTAGAATAATTAACATATATATACATTACTTTCTAAGATCCGCATTTCACACTCCGTTTTTCAACCATACCCAAGGATTTGTATATGACATATTGAATATTTTTATCAAAGATATCATGCATACATCAGATCAATGATAAAATACTATTGTTAAGTCAAAAGTCCTCATTACGCATTCAACATTGAAAGAGAAATGTTGTTAGTGAAGTTGATTTTCCTTATCAACGCCATACTCGTTACTGAGGCGGTAAGTTACTTTAAGAATTTTATTTTGTCCTTTCTATTAAAAATATACCATGCTTATATATAGCTATATATGCTTATTTGAAAATCCTTTATACTTTCCAAACGTTTGTAGTAGTGTCTAATACGGTACTTACGGTTTTAGTATATATGGTAAATCGGTAAACGACTCAGGTCGAGATGAACCATTCTTTAAGTTCTGGACTGCTTTACACCTACAATAACTATTGTATTTTTTCATATAGTGGGATTGGAGTTCCTCCTTTTATAACATGCTTGTGAACTTTTCTGCAGGTGGAAAATGTCGATTTACTGTCTAATAGTACAACTATGAGGCAGTAATATGACTGACTATATTGATCTACAACCATACAGCCCTCTTGGGTTAAAGACAGTCACGACTATATCAGAAACTAATTTATAATACTGAAGTGAAGAAAAGTGCAGATGAAAAATATTTATAGTGAAATTGCTTGATACTTGGCCTCACCTTTTTTCAATTTAGATTCCAGATAAACCTGGAAACTGCGATAAAAGTACTAAAGGAAACCAGGTTGTCATAAAAGATCGAGAAGGAGAGGCTAAGCTGTTATTTGCGATGAAAATGGGAAAATATTTCGCTGGAAAATGATTGATGGTAAAATATACGTTATCCATGTAACTATGTTTTATTTCAGGTTTGATGAGTTTTACTTTACGGGAAGGGAAAAAAAGAATTTGCTGACCTATTTTGTACACTATTACATTAAGTTAAAAATCAGGACCCCATTTAAGTACTGTATATTTTGGTTTTTGCTAGTATATACATTATAAAGTTACAAGTTTAAGCTTCTAGCTGAAACATATTCGGGTGATTGACTCGAATGAAGTGTTGACAAAAGAGAGTTATCTAGTGCCAATTAGTTAACTAACCTGCATAGCAGGCGTATACAGCTATTTCAATTAATGTTGTCCAAAGCGGAAAAGTCGAATACGAGCGCGAAAGGCTGCTGGGAATCGCTAATAAATTCATTCGTGTACTTGCGATTCCCAGCAGCCTTTCGCGCTCGTATTCGACTTTTCCGCTTTGCTCGGGGGACAACCTTAATTGAAATAGCTGCATAAACGCCTGCTATGCAGGCGAGGGATTAACCATATTTTATGAGTGACATTTCGAAATGACGTCACGAGGATTAGTGCATGTTGGATTAAGGGTTAGAAGAAATATATTATATTTGAAATGTTTGATTATTATATATATCTGATAGTTTACTTATATACATTATCCTTTTTACTGAATAGTAATTAATTTAATTGTTGCATATCATTGCCGTTTTGTAACTGCATACAAATTTTTTATGCATGCATGGGAACTTAATTAGTGTACAAACATGACTAACGTACAGACATCATGCCAGTTCACATACTAAGCATTTCACTTTAGTTTTGTCGTTTGTTTCAGAGCTTACTTCACTTGGCATATACTGATTTTAATTGATCGAAAACACTCTCCTCTAGTCAATTATATACGAGTAGTAACATAGGATTAGTAACATAGAATAGTTGAGAATTGTAGAGATAAAGTAGGGATAGTAGAAGACATTTAGATTTTAGTGGTGAGACCATGCCCATGGGGTTGACGAGCGTGCATGTTTTGACTAACAATTACGTAATTTGTTTCCCCCTGTAATATTATGTAATTTGGCTAAAAGGCTCTGCAGAGGAGAGTGGATTGAAAACTTTATCCAAATCTAAAAACGTTTTATGACTTTAAGATTTTCATATCACTTCATTACATTTTGTATTACATATGCCATATTAAGTTCATTTATACTTTAATTAATATTTCAGCTTCTTTCAACAGTATTTACCATAATAGCCTAGAACATAGCGTATAGTAGACTCGGAGAAGGCGAAGAAGTGGGATATTTTCACTTTATTATTCAATATTTTACCGCATTATTCAAACAACCTAAAATATCTGACGACGGGATGGGGGCAAATATTTCTTAGAATTTTGTTTCGAATATTCATATACCTACAATCAATATTCAATATTCCTACCTCAAATATTCATATTCCTATCACAAAGATTCATACATTCAAACTACTTTAAAACCAATATATTCAATATTCAGTATCACGCCTCCAATCCCAGAAATAGATATAAGATATATAGCCTTCTTATTTGCATTCGTGCATGCTAAATATTGATTCTTATCGTTCAAACATACCAAATTTTAAGAATTTTGTATCACTGCACAATTTTGTGCAAAGGTTAGCCGAGCAGAAGCAACACCCTGAAAATTTCTGAACACACCCTTATAATAATATGTAACCACAAAACAGGCTACAATTGATCTTCAAGAATGCCAAAACCAACATACATTGCATGCACAGCACCCAGTGTTGCCCAGGGAAATTTGGGGGCCCAGGGCAAAATTTGACTTGGGCCCCCTCGTGATTCCATGCATCTTCCAACACTATGATTGGGGGGTCTGGGGGCATTCGTCCAGGTTCTAGAAATGACCAAATCCTGCAGTGCATTGTGGAAATCTAGTTGACAGTTATATCTTGTTTATTTCACTTGGATTTGGCCATTAATTTCTGGTTCCCCAGGGCAAATTGCCCCCTCCACGCGCGTACTCCCCTATGTGACCTTGACAGCACCTGCAGTTAGGGTTATCTATACCAACATAGTTTTATAACACATGCTTGAAGAAAAGAAATATTTTCGTCTTGGCAAATTAAAGGCGGTTGGGCGTGACAAACCTCTAGAGACTGGAGGAGTTCCAGGGGCATGCTCCCACAGACAATTTTGTCATCTAGGATTTCTAAAAGGGAAATTTCCTGCAATGTGCGGGGATATTCTATAGAATTCTGAACATCATATATTAATTACAAAAAGTTCTTACAAAATTACAAAAAGTTCTCACTCCATCTTCCAAGTTCAGGCTTTGTTCATCTGATGAACCTTAAGTATAATATTAGTGCGGACGTTCGATAATTTGGCAGTTTCAATTTCATTCAAATTAATATAAACTCATTCAAAATGTTTTGATTAATACTGTCAAGTGTGATTTTTTTTAGTTCAGTGTTTCTAGTCATTGCTTCATTTTCTTGTTAATTAAAATTAAACTTATCACAGCAAATTTTATCACTGTGTATTTTACATTTTATCATTGCATATTTTACTTTTATCACTGCACCAAATTGGTTATCACTGCACACTAAAATTAGGTATGCTTTCAAGGATATTCCTATGGCAATGTATTTGACCCAGCTGTTGACTGCTCAGATATTATGAACAATCTTCCCGAAGCTATGACAGGTGTTTACTGGATAAAAACTGACAAAGGACCACGCAAGGTAAATTGAAAGACTGTATTTTGGTCAGTCATATAATTTCCTTTAATCTTTTCATCCCTTCAACTATTAAATTTTAGATTAACCAGGAAATTTTTAACAAGGGTGTTTTTAAAGTGTATACATACAATAGTTAATAAATAGTACAAAAAATATATATAAAAATATGTAAAAATTATATTTAGGGCTAGAGGTGCACAGATAAACTTAATATATATAGTAGAATAGACTTGGTCTTTCAATGACCAATTTTAGTTAATGTTATGAGAACATTGGAACACTGGAATAGATGTGATAAAAAGAATAAACAACTAATTATCCAGAATAGAGGGCAAACGTAAATGAGATACTGAATTGTGCAGTGAATAATTTCTACAAAAACGTTATGTCATCCAATTTTCATCCAAATTTTGATCGATTTGCCTTTAGCCTACGGCTAGCAGCTCCAGAAATGCTACTTACAATAATGGATATAATATCCATAGACTAATTATAAAACGTATCATCTCCTACTATTTTGTAAAGCCAGCTAGAAATACTGTCTGCTCCCTAGCTAACACAATGTAGGTCATGCAGAACATTGATTAAGTTTCTTTTTAAATTTTTGTTACATGCATTTTTTTTCTTTTTGTACATCAGTATGTTAAAATTATATTTCGTGTTCTAGGCTTGGTGTGACATGGAGACGGACGGTGGGGGATTTATTATAGTACAAAATTCTCCTGTATCTTGGGATGTACCCTCTCAATCTATACTTGTCCACCCACTTGATTCACGACGATGGTCCAGTTTGTTTGGCAACATGTTTATTAGAGATTTTCGAGTACAAATTTCAACATCAAAAAGTTTTTCCAATACTAAAGCTGACTGGTAAATATTACAGTTCTATAGGCAGGCAATTCATTACGTGACGTAACGAGGCGCGCACTTAATACATCTAGAACTTTCATTTGAAAATATCATATAAAGGGCTTCTATTTCTCATTTTCGCCCCTTTCCTTCGGATCTTCATCGAATTCCTTTCTGGCGCTGCATGGGCTCGATCTGGAATGGTGGTTAATGTATAATTTATTTTGAATGAATCTCCAACAACTTCTTCCCCTCACGACCTTACCCTACGAAATAGTCACCCTTTATATTTACCAAACAAAGCTGCGCAAATAACGTTCAAACCAGAGATAGCAAAAAGAATGAAGTAGTTGCTTAGTAACACACAAAATTGTGTTTTATTATAAAATACCCCACGTTCTTAGCCATAAAGGGATAGGGGACAGGTAACTGCCACCCCCCCCAAGAAAACCCCCCAAAAAACATGGAAATTCGGGCAAACACTAGGAAAAATCAAGAAAATTCGGGCAGATTTATCAGAAAATAGGTCAAATTCTGGTTATTTCATTACAATTCTCCAAAAAATTCGGGCAAACATTCAACTGCCCCCCGGAAAGCATCAGCCCCTTACGCCTATGTTTTTAGCCGATTTACATCATAAAATATTCACAGGATTTAAAATTCATTATACTAGTATCATTTAGAGTTGAAAACATCTTACAAGAAGATCTTATAAAATATTACAAGTGATTAAAATTTTAATTTCAGGTATTATCGTTTCAATTCAGCGCGAAAGCTTACTCAACTTCTTCTGTTCGACAAAGATGGTTGTAGCAGCCACCATCCTGGCATTGGTGATGTTCAACTTATCAAAGATCTTCGCAACAAGAAAACTGTGTCGACACAATTTCAGTGCTCGAGATTTGGTACTCATTTTCATAAAAGCCTGGGATGGGTTAGTGTACAGGTCATGGCGTATGGGATATATTATAACAACTGGTAAAACATTCAGGGGCGTGGTTACCGGGGGTGGCACCCCCAATAATTTTGTGGTCAATGCTCCACAGTTGGTCAACAGCTAGCTTTTCTCGTAAAAATATATTTAAAAAACTCATTAATAATATATATATATATATATATATATATATATATATATATATATATATATATATATATATATATATATATATATATATATATATATATATATATATATATATATATATATATATATATATATATATATATATATATATATTTCAAAAACTCATTAATAATTCATGAGGAAAACACAAAGAGAAATCATAAGCGTGGCGTGTCTTTATATGTGATAAAACACGCTTCAAATTTCAACTTGTATTTTCTCAGCTAATACAAAGTTATTTTGGAAAATTATTTCGCCAATGCCGTGATCTAACTGAGACGTTTTTGAAGCTGTTTAATAAACTCGTAGTTTGTGTTTTATCACATATAAAACACTTCGCTACGCGTCGTGTTTTATATGTGATAAAACACTCCTACTCGTTTATTAAACAGTACATATATATATATATATATATATATATATATATATATATATATATATATATACTTATATATATATATATATATATATATATATATATATATATATATATATATATATATATATATATATATATATATATATATATATATATATATATGGTCTCCTACATATATCATTGGAATATTTATTGATATTTTTAGCTTAAAAATGGTTCTCTTTCAGGGAAAGATGAATGATTGTCTCGGGTCTCCCTGTAATTCAGGATTTGCCGTTCTCAAATTAACCACCACCGGTTCTTTCAGGTTAGCTATATGCATATTCCTATCAGTCGAATTATTCAAATTAATTTTATCGAGTGATAAATTATTAATGACCATTAATATTTTCACCGCACTGTAGTAATTCAGTTTTCGACGTTTTTTACATGCAATTATGATTTTTAGTGTACAGATTATACTAACAGTAATTTTGAAAATACTAGCATTATAATATGCTGCTTTAATCTAGAACTAAAATGCGATCATACTTTTTCTACTGTATATCATTATTGCAGTTTCAGTGTGGTTTCATCCAAATCAGGAATTCGAAATAATTCAACTGCATTTATTGGTTGTGATCGGGGCAAGGTATATTTCAGTTAATGATATGTTTTCAAAGGCCATGCATGTATTTGCCGAACTAAGAGTCAAACCACTGCATGTCATTAACTTTTCCTAATAAGTATTATATAGACATTAACTGATTAAAATCACCAGCTCTAGTGAGGTGGCTTAACGCAAAATCTATTTTAAACTTTTCTCAGACCTCAAAATTGGGGCGAGTAATTAAATTTTGGGATCCTAGTAAATATTCAAAGTTGATAACCAGTTAAAGGTCTGAGAAAAGTTTGGTCGTTGTGTCCGATCAGTAACGTTGTCTTAAACCACCTGACTATATATTGTTATAGTGTTGTGCTTGTTACGGTCCATCGAGTGACAAAGATTATTGTGCTCCAAAGTGTCAGTCAATCAATGGCGGGACAATACTAAGCGAAAAAAACGAAATTCATGCTTGGTTCTGGGTACGCACGACTTTGCCAAAACGTGTTTGGAAGAAATGCATGGAGTATGAAAAAACTGATCAAGGAGGGAAAATTATCAAATGGCATGTTGATGACGATAGCGGAGTTCCAAGAAAGGTACTGATAGGTCACAGAATAAAGAAATATAACTGCATATATAACGCTCGGTGTGGACTAATACTTTTGAGAGGCGTAGGCTTATTGCAAAGTGGGCGTATTTACCCTGAAAAGTACAGTAAATACTAGGTATAAACTCAGGATCGGTGAAATAGACGAAAGCTAGCAAGACGAAATATACACTTGCAGGAGACAAGTAAACCATGCAAAAATCTTACTCCAGTAATTTTTTCGGGATGCTTTATTTCAGAAACTTTATAATGCAACGTCGTCCTCTAAGAAGGTAAATTGTGGGGTTCCACAAGGATCAAACCTTGGTCCTCTTCTATATTTGATTTATGTTGATGATCTCCCTAACTGTTTGGAGAACTCACATGCTGCAATGTATGTTGACAACACAAATATTAATTACAGCGCGTTCATCTAGTTTATGTAATATGGACGAATCCTTAGGGATGTTTTAAAGGGACTTAAATGGTACAAGTATTCATGCATGCATGCATAAATCATAAGTCAAGAATTTATTAATGCATAAATTATTCACGCACTGCCGTTCAACTCTTCAGCCTAGGAAAGATAATCCAGTTTGATGAATTTTACATCCAGTTTTTATCCAAATTGGACCAAAATTAATTCAAAAGTCCTGGCCTGTGCCCATTAACTCCACAACCTTTACTTCGAATGTGTGATTTTTTTCATAGGGACCTTGTTCATATCCTGGAGATGTGAGACTCAACGATGGAGTATGTATTATCTACTATTTTTATTTGATTACTACAAGTTTACTTTAATTCATCCCATCGTTTGAAGACCACATTAATATTATATTGAATGAGTGTCTGGTAACATTATCATTTTTGAAGGTGGCTGTAGTAGGCAATAACGAAACTTTACAAAGGCTTCCAAATATCGAAGGACTTCTATCGTACCGCGCCGACAACAAAAAACTATATCTGAGAGGAAAACATCATTGGAAGGCGATGGTGAACGAAGGGGAGGTACGATGAAAGTATATTGCTTAAATTGAACTCATTTTGTCTTAACAAATCCAGTTATTAGATAAAATGCCTGTGCACTTGTCGAAAATACAGTCTTATATCATGCAAAAATAATTCTCATCACAATTCACAATCCTATAAGATCTATAGAATCTAGAAGTTCAAAAATATAAACTTCTCATTCTATATTCAATTTAGTACCTAAATAAAGTTTATCTAGAAACACTCACCTGTCAATCATTCCACAAAACAGTGAATCGATCTAAAGTGTTCCCGAACTATCCTTTCACATGTGATGTGAACCTTTACTTTCAACGTGATAGAATAAACAAAAAAGGTTAAATGTGCATTTTCATATATGTGAAATGTTCATGCCGATGTCCTCACACAATTTTAAGCCGGTTACAGACAAGCAAGTTTTCTATGACAAGTTTTTATGTGACAAGTTTTATTTGCCAAGTGCACGTGTGTACATGCAACAAATTTTGTATGACAAGTTTTCATATGACAAGTTTTATTTACTGGTGTGAACGTGTCAACAACTTTACTTTGACAATTTATTAGTAGCCAGCTGGCCAATCACATCAAATGCTCAGATTGCTTTGACAAGTTCTCTTTGTTGACCCATACAGACGAACAAAAGTTGTACTTTGACAATTTTTCTATGTTGTAAAGCCGCGTCGTATTGACGTTATCTCGCCACGATTGCCCAACCATGACCGGCTGCATTCCCTTAATTTGTTGAAGCCTCTATCATATCACAATCCTTCAAACTGTATTTATATTCCTACAAAACCTCAACAGAAACCTGCAGGATCTGCTTATGTATTTGTTCCATCTTTTATGCTATCAAATCTCATGTCCTTAGCTCCGAAAATCGACGAAATCCGTGAAGTAATTAATCATGCATACTTAGATTTCGTATGCATAACTGAGACATGGCTTCGCGAACACATCGCTGACAACATCATCGCAATTTCTGGATTTAATGTGATTCGGCGTGATAGAGTCGCGGGTCTGCATGGTGGTGTTTGCATGTATGTTAAGGATTCTATAAAATTCAAAGTTCTAGACGAATATATGCATCCTAACTTTGAAGTTTTATGGACACAAATAAGCCCTCAACGACTCCCAAGGGGCATCTCCAGTATTGTAATTGGTACCGTTTACCATCCGCCGAGCTCTATGGATTCCCTTATGCTAGATTACTTGTACAATAGTTTATCTTCTATTGAAGCTAGTTTCCCAGGCTGTGGTATAATCCTCCTCGGTGATTTCAATCAATTAAACGGCTCGCGACTCTGCAACTTCTATAAACTTAAACAAATAGTCAATTTTCCAACGCGTGGTAGTAACACTTTGGACAAAATTTATACCAATCTAAAGAGGTTTTATAGCCCTCCAGTTAAGATGTCCCCGTTTGGTTTGTCTGACCATGCTTCTATTGAAGTTAAACCTCTAGAGCGAACCAATCTACCTAAACCCAAGATCACCGTGAAGTCAAGGGACATTCGGCCTTCGAAGCGCCTTGCAATGCGTTTGTATCTAAAGGAAGTTGACATTTCAACACTAATTAACAGTCAGAGGTCGTGTGAAGACAAAGTAAAGCTCCTGGAATTAATCATTAATACCGGGATGGACAGGTTACTTCCTCTAAAGTCTAAGACCATTGTAACAAGCGAGCCACCCTGGATCAATCAGTCTCTCAAATGTTTGATTCGCAAGCGCCAGAAAGCTTTAGACCAGGGAGACGAAGTTCTATTTCGCACACTGAGAAATCGAGTAAATCGTGAGCGGAAAATATGCCGTGCTAAGTATTACAAGTCTAAAGTCGAGCATTTGATGGAGTGCAAACCTGCATCGTGGTGGAAAGAAGTGAAAAAGTTAAGTGGAATGACAACTGTCAACTCATCCCAGACAGACCTAGTCTCTACGCTACAGCATATTGGTCGTGATCAAGGAGAGGGAACTGTCAGCAATACTGTCCTTGCCAATGTTATCAATGAGGCATTCCTTGCCCCTATGAGTCATTTTACACCTTTACAAACCGAAGAATTTGTACCAAACAGCCCAGTGTTCGAATGCTGCTGCCTCCAAGTGTCCGAGTTTTCTGTTAACAAGAAACTGTCTACGTTAAATCCAACTAAAGCAAGCGGACCCGACGGTATACCGAGTTGGCTCTTAAAAGACAATGCCGACATATTTGCTGCGCCAGTATCAAATATATTAAACCGTTCCTTTTTGGAAGCTCGACTCCCATCATCGTGGAAATTGGCCAATATTTCACCAATCCCAAAACAAAAGCAAATTCTTGACGTAAATAGCCATCTTCGTCCTATATCTTTGACATCTATCCTCTCGAAAGTTGCGGAAGACTTTGTCGTAGAAGAATTTGTAAAGCCTGCAGTTCTGAAGAAGGTGGATCCAAATCAATTTGGGACGATACCTGGTAGTAACACCACCCAGGCCCTGATCAGCATGCTGCATTCGTGGAATAAAGCAACTGACGGTAGTGGCGCAACTGTCAGGACAGTATTAGTTGACTTTAAGAAAGCTTTCGACTTGATCGATCACCATATACTTGTAGACAAACTAAAATCGTATGATATTCCTGAAAGCATTGTTTTGTGGGTTATTGACTTTCTTACTTGTCGCAAACAACGTGTCAAACTTGGTAACGACTGCTATTCTGAATGGGGAACTATTCCATCTGGGGTTCCCCAGGGTACCAAACTCGGGCCGTGGTTATTCGTTATCATGATAAATGATTTGAAAATCCAAGATTCGGAACTCTGGAAATACGTCGATGACACAACGATGTCTGAAATTGTTGAAAGAAACAACGAATCCAACATACAGGAGAAAGTTGATGAACTTACACGACATATTTCTATTGATAAACTTACGTTAAACGAGTCCAAGTGTAAAGAGTTACGTATTAGCTTCAGTAAATCTCCTCCCGATTTCGATCCTATTACCATCAACAATAAGCAACTGGAGGTCGTTGAAAGTGTAAAACTCCTTGGCATGCAGATATCTAACGATCTTAAGTGGAATAGCCATATATCTGTTATTATGAAGAAAGCGAATAAGCGTTTGTATTTTCTGAGCCAACTAAAACGTTCGAACGTGGGCAGTAAGGAACTTATTACCTTTTACTGTACTTGTATAAGACCTGTTACAGAGTATGGCTGCCCAGTATTTCACGATAGCCTGCCAAATTACCTTGTTAAAGACATCGAAAGAATACAGAAACGCGCGATGCGGATAATATTTCCAGCCTTATCATATGACGAATCTCTCTCCGTTGCTGAGTTGGTCCCTCTAGAAGCACGAAGACAGCAACTAACGGACAAACTATTCCAGCAAATTATTAGCGACCCAAGTCACAAATTGAACAAACTTTTACCACCTGTAAACGAATGCCAAATTAAGCTTAGGAAGAAACGACTTTTTAAAAATCAGCTTTTTAAAACAGACCGATTTAGGAATAGTTTTATAACTCACAATGCACTGAAAATGCGCACCTAGTTATAGTAGTAGACAATTATAGTCAACTTATACGCACATTGCCATTTGGCTCCAAACTTTTAAAATTTTTAATAGTTATTCTAATTTTAAACTATATGTAATTCTTAGCGTAATTCAGCTTTTGGCTGCAATGCTTTGCAAATAAACCATCTATCTATCTATCTATCTATCTACAAGTGCACTTGTGTACTTTTGTCATAGAAAAAAATGTCAAAGTTGAGCGTACAGACGAGCAAATAAAATTTGTCACATAAAAACGTGTCATAGAAAACTTGCTCGTCTGTAGCCGGCTCTACATGTGATGAAATCAGAGACGTGTTGGGGTCTTGAAAAGGACGACGATTCAATTCCCCGAGCCTGCGATCCTCGGGAAGGAACGTGAGGCTCTGGGATAATCCGTTGCCGGAAGCCAGGAATCCTGGCTAAGACCGAACTACGCATTCCATATCAACGGCCAATCAGATTCCTCCCTGAAACGGATTATCCCAGAGCCTCCTTCCCGAGGATCGAAGGCTCGGGGAACGAGATTGACGACGAATGAGCAACGTGGGTTCGCACATGAAACACTTCAGTTGCTAATTAATATTTTTTTCCAAAAATGAGGGGAGGGGGAGAGAGAGTTCGAAAAATCTCCAGACATACCATTTTTCAATTACTTTCGAGTTGAGTGTACCGTAATTTGTTAAAATTTTCGGTAATATTTTCGTAAATTTAGATTTTTAAAATATAAATTGTAATATCTAATCTTGATTTTCAAAATTAAAATCTATATTTTTTATCTTTTCCAATGTTTTAATTTAGGGACCCACAATAGCACGTCCCTCGATGAAATATTATAGGCTAAACATTACAATTAGTTTAACATTACCATTACAGGTTCAGGCATTGGAAAGGAAATTAAACGAAAGTAACAAAAGGCTGCTAAAGTTAGAACAAGGTAAAATTAAAAACGCGCTATTTATCCGCCAGGTAACCCGCTATTTTGACTGGTGACATGCTAAACAAACACCCCCAAACAAAAGTTAACACCTACTTACTGTTAGCCTGCATGGCAGGCGGTGATTTTAGGAACCGCCTGCCATGCAGGCTAACTTACTGTAATTCTAAGATTTTGTATATACACTGTTTTTCAGACAGCAAAGTTTATGCATCGTGTAGAGATGTCCTGAAAAAAACTGGGTAATACAGTTATTAATGCCATTAATAAACTGTACTCTGAAATCATTAATAAACAGTTGTTGGATGAGGTTTTTGTGATACCCAGAATAATCAAGGTTGAGGTAATTCGGGATATCACAAAAGTGAGCTTATTACAATACATAATTTCCACTTCAAAAACGAAGACATGTACAGTGTGTACAGTACAATGTTTTACAAAAATATTTTTTCGATCTAACAACATTGACAACATTAGGCGACTTAATAAAACTGTGGCTGTAACTTTTTTTTCAAACCTCGTCCTAAAATACGTGAAATAGCGTTCAATGAATACAGAAATTCAAAATTTTCCCGGGAAACCATGCCCCCGGACCCCCCTACATTCCTGACGCCTTTGGCTCTCGCATTCGAAATGCCATAGAAATTTTGGCTCTCTCAAAGTTTAGACCCTGGCTATGGGCTACGCCACTGTCTATTAGCCCAACATAGCTAGGTATGGATATATGCATGGTTGAAAAAGCCCATCAACTATTGCAGTAACTACAGTTACCAATTTCGTTCAATCTTTAGTCGTGTAAAACATGGTATTTATAAAATCAAAGTCCCAGAGACTGACTACACCAATGTCTATTGCCACATGACATCATTGCCCGGATGTGCAGGAGGTGGATGGACATTAGTTATGAAGATCAACGGAAAAAAGGTGGGGAATGTACAGTAAAGGTGCATGATTTTTTCAAACAGCATCCGGAAACAAGAATTTTTGCACGGTTATTATTGTTTCTATTTCTTGAAAGACGTGGTTCGGGATCATGTGCAGTAGTAATCAATTTTCAAATTTTCTTCACAACCCAACCTCGTACCCAGAGCATGCCCGTTCGCAGGTTTATAGATAAAATACACTTGAAAGTCGTTTTGTCCTGCGATGAATCTCCCGTCAGTGCGTTCCAGGAACTATTAAGGCCAATTTCCACTCAGGAAAATTTTCCGCAGAAAGAACATTTTGTAAAATGTGATTGGCCGACACAAAACAATGATATTTTCGGAAAATTCTCTGTCCGTGGAAATTTTTCTTGAGTGGAAATGTGCCTTTATACCTCAAATTCAATCAGAAAGCTAAGTTTGTGCGCATAAGAATGAAATTTATCATCGAATCGCGCCTTACGTCATCGTATTTGACGTAAGCGGGTGACTTGAATCATATATGAATGAAAAATGTAATCATCAACATTTCAAACGATATGTGATTCGATCGAAAGAAAAGTGACGATACTTGCGTTAATCCAAAAATAAAACATCGTATTCATGAAGGTATGTGGCAAGTTTTATATTCTCAAAGCCTCCAGGCTTTTAATTTTCGGTATAATACTGTACAGGGTGTATAAAAAAAGGAATCCAACGTTAGCATGCCATTATGTATTAATTACTTTTGGCTGTTGAATGACATGTTTTTCACCAATATGGAGAACAAATACTAGCCCGAGAAAAATGTTTATCGAAATCGCATATTTTCACCTCTGCGCCTAATTAAAGCAGTGCATAACAAAAGGAAAAGCAATAATTAATCACGAATGTGTCATTTTATCAATGAGCTTACAGAGCTGGTTTACAAGATTTTATAATAATTATGCATACGCAGGTATTTTAAGGCCAGCTAGAGGGGGGGGGGGGGAGGGCAGGGGCAAATACCCTGGGGAAGGAGTGCTCAGAGGGGCCCGGAAATATCGGTAAAATGTTCGTATTGTTTATCATCGCTATATGTTTGTCCTAAATGAAATACGCCTACTTGCACACTATCCGCTGATGCGGTCGTGATCGATCGTAAAACGTACTAAATGTGAAATAAACAATTTTTCGATCGATTTTTCTGAAAAAACATTTAGCCAAACATTGTTTACATCGCGTCTTTATCAGTTATGAGATGAAATGAGGTATTTACCTGCATTAAACACATTTAGTACGTCCATCTGCTGGTACGGTAACATGCATGCACCGAAATTCTCCGGCGATTTCTTGCAAGTAATTCGCAGGCGATTCCCTCGTTGATTGCGATTAAAAAATAGACTTGAATAGAACAAGAGGGACGGGGGGGGGGGCGTGTTCACCAATTTGTCCCGGGGCCCCCTGATTGCCACTCGCCGGCCTTGAGGTATTTTATTGAAGTGAAATACGTCAACTTAAGTTAATTACCAATAGTTTTAGACCCAATTCTCAACGGTGAAAATATATATGCTCATTTTTTCTCCATATTGGATGAAAAACGTGTCATCCCACAGCTGAATGCCTGATCTTTATGATTATAAAAAAATACGTTCATGCACCAAGTAATTAACGCACAATGATATGCCAAATTAGTTGGATTACCTTTTTTTATATCCTGTGTATCATTTACAGACCCTCTGCTCAAGGGATTCGGGGAAAAATTACCCTCAGTGGCGATCATCACTTCGGGTAATATTTCGCCGAATCCCCCTCGCCCAGGTCTATAAATGATAAATGTCCTGCTCCGTTTCATTTTGATATCATTTTTATACGCCATACCGTATATGTAGAATTCTAATATCTTGCAGGCATAACGAAACCAACAAAACCTCAAATCTTGTATTTTGTTTTTATGTAGGAAACGTTTCATTATTCGTCCAGTTATTGGAGCAACAAACAAACTTATAATCTTGGAGGCGGAATGACAGGATTTGACAGTCAAGAAACTAAACTTCCTACATATTGGAATACGCCATTTAAAGAAATCTGCCTAGGAATGAAAGTGAACAACGAACTCAACTTTATATCCATTCCGTATCAAGCTTCTTCTTTGTTTAGCGTGATAGCAGATGGTTCATACCGTTCTACAAATACTGGTCGAGCAAAATGGCTCTCTTTGGTGAAAGGTTCTGGCTTACAACGTTACTGCAACCGCGAGGGATTTAATGTGCAAAGAAATAATCGTCAACGTTATCCCAGTTCACATAGTGCTCGTATAGGAGCAATTGGGAATAATGAAAACGACTGTAATTCCCCCGACTCTTATTTGGGATTTGGCGCCGGTCTAACCTCGTCCAAACGTACATTTTGTTCAATGCCTAAAGCATCGAATACGTGTGGAAACAGTGCTCACTGTAGATCTGGTGGAAGCAAGGAAATGCATGCAATGGGTTATATATTTGTTCGTTAAAACCTGCTTTGTCCCACTCTGGAAACATACATAAGCAAATATTAAGATATCATCTTTATATACATGCTAGTATAGATTGTATTTTATAGACTTGTAGTGAAAATGGGTATCATAGTTGTATCTTGTCTTGGGAAAACTTGAATTACTAGTAAATAATTACTATCTAGTATCATTAAATCACACCATGTTACTGATTAACGTTTTCCAGCTGGTGTTCTATTTTCATCAACATGTTTTTAATACAAAAGTCAATCAATCAAACTTTATTTATCGACGGTACTATTTCACAAACTAAGACAAAGACTAAAATATTTATTATTAATTGATTATCAAGAATTACTACCACTATTTGTCACTATATACAGCCCTTTCGAAAGTTGACAAAGAACCCAATTTTTTATGCTCGCATGTAATAAATCATTCCAAGCTACAGCTGAGGGGGGGGGCATGGGGGGGGGGTCTCGTCACGAAATCACGAAGATAATTTTTCGATTTCACGAGTCACGAAAAACAAAATTTCATTTTCACGATTTTTAGAAACACAGAAGCGTAACAAAGTCTGAAACCATTTAACACATACTCACTTTAACATTAGAGCCGTTTAAAGGACAATGGAAATCATTGCGAGCATCGTACGATGGTTCACGAAGTTACGAAGAGGTACGAAAGTATACGATAACGACGTTTACCGATGAAACCTCAAGAACTAAGACAACCGCGGGAAGCATATTTATAAATTTTTCCCCATAATATTACATTTGGGCCGAGTTTTAAACGTAAACATTCACAAGTTAGGGTAAAATATTTGTAAATTCAAGACCATAGCTAGCCTTTTAGCTCTTCACGATCCACGGCACGCATATTAATCACGATTCACGGAATAGTATTTCTTTAAATCACGAAAGACGAATAATTGCTAACCTAATCACGAGTCACGAAAATACCCTTGCCCCCCCCCCCTCACAGCTCCTCTGTACGAGAATGATTTTTTACAAAAGTTGGTATTTGGTTGGTATTATACAATTACTTTATGGTTTCCGTGTTTGGATGGCCTGATCCAAACACGCGGGAATGTTGCGAGAGTTAAGAAAAGCGCGCGAAATCACGAACCGAAGGCGAGTGATTTTGCGCGCTTTTCTTAACTCGAGCAACATTTCCAAGTGTTTGGATCAGGCCATCCTAACATGGAAACCATAAAGTAATTGTTTTATAAAATAACAACAACACGATAGTCTTCCGTGTTTGGATGGTCTGATCCAAACACGGGTTTCGACCAATCAGAACACGCGTTATATACATGTTATTTTATAATCGGGCCTCCTGCCCCCCTGTTCCGGCGTCCCTGTATATTGTATTGATATTAACACATTTTAATACAACATAAAGAACTACCTCAAATCCCAAGGTTGGCAAATGTTTGGACTTCTTTGGACAAATAAATTACACTGAGCGGTTCACAGTACATACACCATTTCTCTGAGACAAAAGTCAATCTGCTCATACAGTTCCAACACTGACTTGTTTATTGGTGTATTTATGAGGTATGCAAAAGCCTCTGTGAAGGAGAGCTCGACGTTTGGTGAAAACACTAATTCACAACTTCACAAGCCGTGCAGTCAAAGTTTAGGTTGATTGATACCACTATATATAACAAGCATTTGCCCCTTAGTTTCGCCTTTTAGTCAACCTGTCCAGGTAATGAACTGGTTCTTAAATCAGTCAGCTCTGTATCAGGCTGTGAACATTCCACATAGTTTCTAACAATATGAGTATCATGAGGTATTTCGTTATGTTCTGGTATAGAAGGCAATGTACATGATTGGTCAATGTCTGTACTTAAAAGATCATCATAGCCTTTGATAGTTACTTGAGAAGCTGAACGATTTCTAAATGCTGCTGGTGTTTCTATAACAAACGAACATTCGTCAGGATTGAATGGTCTTACTCTGTTGCGGTCTATCCTGAGAGTTCGTCGAACTATTGTATTTATCTCCCGTCGTACCATTTTCACGCGAAATGCGTAAATAATCGGACACCAGAGTACGGAGGAAAACGTTAGGATTACAGATAACGTCTGAACTTCATACGCAATGATATCCGCGCGTCTGCGTAGATTTTCAATGAGGATACATGCAGAATACGGAACCCAGCAAACTAAGTTTGTTCCAACGTGAAGCACGAGTGTTTTCCATGCTTTAGTACGGGAATGTTCAGCACGCGTCGCCATTGCGCGTCGTTGATTTTGTGCCTGAATATATTCACTCGGTGAAATAAGACTTCCCAGACTTAATCGACCGCCAAGAACTTGTTTATGAACTGCGCGCAATATGTACAAATACGATACAATGATTATTAACAACGGCATAAATATTGATATACCACAGAAGAATTTTGAATAGCCACCGCTGCTATACAAATGCCATAACACAGTACATGATAACTTTGCTCTTTGATAGCCATATTTTCCCCAGCCTAAGAGCGGTAGTATTGCCATGAATAAAGAAAATAACCAAATCATAACTATCATAATGTACGCTCTTGTTGAACTCATGTGTATAGGATGACGCAGTGGTTTCACAATGAAATAATATCGATCATAACTGAGCGCAGCTAATGTTAATAACAACGCGCAAGACAGCAGTATCAACAAAAATCCACTCACTTGACACCAAGCGCGTCTGAATACCCAGTCGTCATAAACGCTTGTAGCGACAACAAAAGGCAACACCATTACGGTTGTAAATACGTTGATTAAAGTCATATTTAGAACAAACTTGTTACATGTGGTGGAGAGAAGATCTCGACTCTTACAAAATGTTATAGCAACAAGTCCATTACATATCAATGATGAAAGCACTAGCACAAACATCACGGAAGATTGTATAGCTATTGCTGTTCGTGTAAGCGCGTGTCTTGTATCAGAAACATTTGATATATTCATACTTGATATATTCATACTCGCCTTCTTTCAGACTCTTGCGACGAGCAAGTGTTTAGAAGAAAACCGTCCTTTATCCCAAGACGAATTAAAATTTTGCCATGGCGATCAAAGATAATATTAATACCATTCCTTTGGTATCTAATTACACGTTGTATAAATATACTGGGTGGTCTCGCAGCGGAAACCGCTGGAGAAAAATTCTGAAAAGTACGATCATATTAAAACACTGTTAGTCTCCTCGCAAGCCATCTCTATAGGGAACGCAGTGCCCTCAATTGGGTTCCTTTAATTTGAATTTTGTGCTCAAATGTTCTTGCTATGTCGCACATTTTCGTTTACATTTTTCATATTCCTTGGAAACTCCGAAATAATGAACTTTATAAACAAAGTGTGACAACTTATATTTTCCTGCACGAGTAAAATAAACGATCAAAGAAGCTTCGGTTGACAAGGTAAGCGTGGGTAAATAAAGTTTTTCTATCTATCTTCTATCTATAGCAGGCGTTATATTTAATAAAATTTCTGCCCGAAAGGGTTTTTCAGAAATTATTTACAATTTTTTTTAATCATGTGCAAAGTTTAGTAAGTTATTAAACGTTCTCATTGCCATTGGCAAGCAAATGTTTTTTAAGTGCTGTCTTGAAGGGAAGCGCTATCTTTCAGGTTTTTATCTATATTGTTCCAAATGTGGACAGCAGCTCTATAGGCAAACGACCGTTGACCAGCTGCAGTTTTGAAGAGTGGTAGTATTTGGTATGGAGTCGACCTTTTCCTAAACTTATTGCACAGGTAATCGGGTGCAAGGTTATTTACACATTTGTAGGTCAGAACTCTAAAGTGTAGTAGTTTGTCCACTGAATGGTAGTCAATTTAGTTGACGTAGAAGTGGAGTTGGTCATACTTTCTGGATTTCGTAATAATAATCCTGCATGCAAAGTTCTGGATCGACTGAACTTTCTTTACGTTGGAAACAGACATATTCGATCACATCATGATAAAGCATCTTGCTAATCACCAGGGGTTGGGATGAAATGATTTCCGATAGGCGATAGAATATTCTTAGCACGATTAATCTGGCGTAATTTGTTCATGCACGAAGATACAATGTTGCGATATATGATTGTCATAATTTAGGTGGCGATCTAAATTATGACAATCATATATCTACTTCAGGGCTTGAAATAACAGCCGATCACCGATCGGCAGGAGATTGCTTATGATCGGCAGAAAAGGTTTCCAACCTGAAAAAGCAGGGAAAGTCATGACTGCCGATCACCATGATCGGGAACTTTGGGAACGTTATTTCAAGCCCTGTACTTGTATCTGTCGTCTATTCTCCATCCTATGAAAATAATACAGTTTAAGGATCAAGATTAACACAGGGTTTATGATTGAGAAACGTTCTACGACCCAATTTAAAATAGCAGTTTTCCCAGCATGAAATGTAAGCGTTCTATACAAGGCCTGTTAGTGTAATTATGATAAAACGAGCAAGAGGAAGGAGAAATATATGGGAAAACAAATGGTATGCACTGCCGTATAAGAAGCAATTTTGTATTGAGGAGGGGGGTCTGATTAGTCAGGGGCGATTATTAACTTCTTATTAACCGAACGTGAGGTCTGTACAGAGAAATATCGGACCGAGGTCTTGTACAGACCGAGCCCGTATAGGGGAGGTTTGTATAAAAAGACTGAGGTCCGATATTTCTCTGTTCATACCGAGCAAGGGAGGTTAATAAAAAGTTTAACTATATGGCATTCATAAGCATTTATACTTGAAAACAAGAAATGCATGATTTGAAGTGCATATTAGTAGCGTAGTACATATTTGGTGGAACAAAACAAAAAAAATACAAATGTATTCCTTCCGTTTTCCACTAAAAACCATTCGCAGATATCTTATTAATAACAAATTAAATTAAAATTTTCAAATTTGTAATTAGTTTTGCTGTTTTGTTTTAAAATGCATGCGTTCGTTTTTACGTAATGGACCGCCGATCCATTACGGGAAAATAATGGACCGCTGAAAGTGCTTCTCAGCCAATCACAGTCCGCCATTTCACCGGAAATGATGCTTGCTATATAATAATAGGTCATTATTTCCCTCTCAAACTTTACAGACTACTCCTAGTTTACAATTGGCTCTTGCCGTTTCGTTTTTTTTTGGGACACCCTGTATATATACACAACAATATATAATATATGCACATAATTATACAACTTGTTTACTACACTACACCCGTTTACTGGTAATCACCCAGATTAAACTATCGTATATCAAAATTAAAGTTTCCATATTCGTACTTTTATTACTTTTCAAGCATTTTTACAACGGATAAAAAAATCACTTATCCGATGGATAGCGCTACCCGGCCTTCGTACAACCGACCCCAGTAAAATAAAAAACTCCGAAAAATGAATTAATATTCGGTAATATGGGGCTTCGGTGGTGCAGTCGTCAGAACAAGCGCCTTTCAACTCGCCTTTCGCCTGAGCTACGGTGACGCCTAAAACGTCCGTGGGATTTAGTTAATTATTAATTTCTGCTCATTTTCTTGCACCCAATATTACAATTACGATTTCTATAGCGCAAATTTACATGTGGATATCATCAAATGCGCTTTACAGACACTTACCTAATTACATACTTAGCCTCCTAGATTATTTTATTTTTACAATAATTGTGATAAAACTTAACTGTGTTTATCCTAACCCACCTTGTCTACTTTCCCCGTGGGAGGAAACCGGAGCACCGGGGGGAAACCCCCGACTTCGGCAGAGCGTTAACTGACTCTTTTCACACAAGTCCGCAGCGAGAATTGAACCGAAGGCGAAAGGCGAGTTGAAAAGCGCTTGCTCTGACGACTGCACCACCGAAGCCCCATATTAACGAATATTAATTCATTTTTCCGAGTTTTTTATTTTACTGGGGTCGGTTGTACGAAGGCCGGGTGGCGCTATCCATCGGATAAGTGATTTTTTTATCCGTTGTAAAAATGTTTGAAAAGTAATAAAAGAACGAATATGGAAACTTTAATTTTGATATACGATAGTTTAATCTGGGTGATTACCAGTAAACGGGGAATTCAAGAAAGCTTGAAAAATATCACTATCCGTACAACCGACTATATTTGTACAACCGAGCCCTGTATATTACGAAACAAATTGGTCCCCTCAGATTTGAAGTCGAAACGGTCTAGTTGTCACTTTCGGGTATAAATACATGTAAGAATGAAATTTATTATATTCATGATATAAAAAATAACACTAACATCATTTTGTAGAGGTTTAAGTCGAACAATAGGCATACTGGCATATCCGTGAAAAAGAGGAAGAAAACATTAGGATTTCGAGTGAAGTGCCGTCTTCTGGAAGGTGGAGTGGTAGTTTTTGGGACTACCCACACAAATATGAAAAACTAGTTTCACTAGATTTATTCAGATATACTGCAGACGAAAAATTCGTTGTCTCGAGTGAGATTCGAACTCGCATCTTTGCGTTTCTAGACCGCCGCCCTACTCATTGAGTAGACTTGCTACAAGTCGACTCGCAACGTAACGCATTGTAACTTGTCTCGTGTTGTAAGGAGCCAGACGAGTGAGAACGCAGCAATCGAGCCGACGGGGATTGGTAGCGAGTTTTCGCTTGCAATATCGTACCTAGAGATTTAAGTGCACAAAAATCTTCGCAACGGCTTAATTTTGGAGGACGCGCAATGTTTCAATAGCCTCTTCCGCAGGCATCTCTATGGGTTTTAGCCTGCGAATGGGTGTGAGATGCCTACGGAGTACAGAGGAGGCTATTTCTGAACCATCCGCAGAGATATGAGCAAAATATGCGAGTTCGAATCTCGCTCACGACAACGACGTTGATCTCTGCAGTGTCAGATTAAATATGAAACTAGTTGTTCTATATAGTTTCGACAAAAATCACTGCAGTAATTCTACAGTACACCTACGGCAAAGATTATGGCAATGGTAGTGATTTACAACAATGATATTGGCCATTGTCGTCATAAACACCTCGTTGTGAGAGATGAATACAATCCACATGATGTTCACCAAACACAAAGTCTTTGAAAATCTAAAAAACCCGAGAAAGACAGTTTAAGACTAGCAATGTTCAGGTAATATTTCAAATCCGACTATGTGGACTGGACTAGATTTCAAGTCCGCGCAATTTGATAAAGTCCGAGGCGAAGCCGAGGACTGGGTCACAATGCGAGGACTTGAAATCTAGTCCAGTCCGAATTGGAGGATTTGAAATGACATCTCATACGAATAAATCACTACTTAAAGTGAGGTGAATTAATTTTGATCCAGTCCAAGGATTGAATCATTATCCTTCACAAGTTACCCAGTATTATCATGTGAGCAAAATAATTAATGAGTTTGAGATGAAACAATCAAGGTGGCCTATACGAGCTTCAATACTGTGCTACAACGATTTCCTGTCTAGTGGTAGCCTGCATGTTAACAACATCTCCTCGTTTGACAGAAAATCTCTTGGATCCATGCCTACAGTGTATCTGTTACAGGTGGCCAAATGCGCCTCTTAAAAATGGTTAATTGCCAATAAACTTAGCCTAAATGAAACCAACACAGAATTTATGTTAATTGGTTCAAAGGCCATGATTAAATAAATTCTGATTCATTTTTGAATGTTTTCATTGAAAATAAGCAAATTAAACAAGTTAGCGAATGCAAAACTCTTGGAGTAATAGTTGACCAGCATTTGTCTAGGAAAAGTAATTCTGAAAATATTTGCAAAAAAATAACTGCAGGAATCTCTGCTATTCGTCGAGTCAAACTTTTCGTTGACAAAGATACACTCATTTCGATATATATAATGCTATTGTTCGCCCATACTTTGATTACAGTTGTGAAGTATGGGATGTGTTTGATGAATCACGATCAAAACGACTCCAAAATCGTCAAAATAGCTGCTGGAATTATCTTGAACATGAGCAATGACGTAAATCATTCTATTGCTATACGTGCATTGGGCTGGGAGCCACTCAAGAAGAAGGCAAAAATGATGTACAAAGTATTAAATAGAATGGGTCCTATAAATCATGCACTCACTAATCTTTTTTCATACAAATGTGAGAAAACAAACTACAACCTTCGGGACATTCCAAGTGGTCTTAGTTTACCAAAACCGCGTACTAACAATATGAAAAATAGTTTCATGTATGACTGAGCACACCTTTGGAATTCTATTCCGTGTATAAATAAAGTTTCTATCTCTCATTTGGCATCTTCACTCCCATGACCTTAACGAGCGATTTCGTATATTTATATACAGTAGACGGTAGTGTTAAATAATCTGTCCATGCCTGACATTAGCAACAGTTGACAGTATATTTCTATATTTTGGTTTCACCTCAGTCTTGACTATAATTCTGTATCGAATTTGTTTTGACCTAGTGTGTTTGTTTCCGACCAACACTATACAACGTCCTGTATCGATGGACGCTACTAGAAACGTCAAAGTGTTGCAATCTTTTTTAGATAGTTCAGAGTTCAGACATGACTAACCTGGCAGCAGGGTCTTGTCAGGTTCACAGGAATACATCCAGTCTCATGGTTATTTCGAGGTATATGCAAGCTTTCACTATTACCTGTATTAATATTGCGAGCTTTCAAGAATGACGAAATAGTTTTAGAATTCCGCATTTCCCTCGCCTAAACATAGTAAGAATTAAAGCTTATGCGAAACTCTGCGACAGAGTCGGAATATTCTAAAAACTACAAACCTCCGTAATTTCCGTAGCGTCGAAAGTAGTGCGGCTAGAGAATGGAGCTCTCTTGTTGTTCCTTGATTGTGAACTCGACGTCAATTCCTTATCAGTTTCCCGTAATCTTGTGTTTATCACTGTAGCATGTAGTTTCACTCTGCCATATTCATCCTTTCCTAAACCTTTCATGATGAAGTAATTCATCACCTCATTCGCTAACTCTTGAAGCCTGTAAGAAAGAAATGAAATTCGATCATGCATCCTTCAACCCAGTTCTCTAACCAGATGCCAAAGCCTGGTTTCCACATGGTCGTGGTTGTCGTCACCAAGGCCCCATGAGACCAGGACGAAGTCAAACCGAGACGATTTCATTTCGGTCATAGTATTATTTATAATACTGTAGATGTTTACACGAGACCAGGACGAAAAATTGCTGAGACCGGTCTGAATTAGTCATCCTGCTCGCTGGACCGACTATCTTCAGAGTCGTTCAGAACGGGATTAATTCGTAACGGGATGAATGTAAACGACCGGTATCGGTTGTGCTCTTTGGCTTCGAAACAATGCATGCTAACAAAAACACCGTAAGGAAAGAAAATGGCGGGCGAATAAATTGGAAGATTTGTGATTTTCGTACCGGTCTCATGTGAACATATTGAAAATTTCGATTTTTATCCCGGTTTGACTTCGTCCCGGTCTCACGTAAACGGGGCCCAAGCATCAGTGGGCCCAAGTCAAGACCAATGCAAAAATTTGGTTTTGTGTCCTGTGTGCAAATATATTAGTACTTTTTGACAATTCGTGAATTTGCTTGAGTGCACACAAAACAATAGCTTGAAATCGAGGCGGACAATGTAATCCATTGTAAATAAGTAGTTTTCATTGCCAGCAACCAAATTCGGAAGTGACCATTAAGCGTGGTTTCAATTTGGTCATAATTAATTAACGGTCGCAGGTAACCGACGTAATGACGTGTCGACATATATCTTGAATAACTTAGTTCTGCACTTCACTTGGTGGAATTAATATTAGGATTTGAAAGCTCCGGAATCGCATGGCCGTAGGTTCGATTCCTACCAGAGGACCTTGTGCTGCATTTTTCGCAGTCGTTCCTGGTTGGGTGTTAAAATGTATATATTCTCACTTGGATTACAAACCCTAACATCCTAACATATATCTTTGCAATCCATCTATGGACTGATTGGAATAAAGGACACAAAAAACAAGATACAATAGACTGAGAGTTCAAATTTGGTGACCATCACTTGGTCATGACCAAGACAGGCACGACCAAATGCAAACCAAGTTGCGAGCTTTAAGCTGCGACGTCATTTTGGGATATTCATACGGAACTCCATCAGTACGGAGGTAAGAGAAATAATGGGCATATACTAATTACTCATTTATGGCACTATTAATTCTTTATTCCTGGCATTACTTATTTTCATCCCCATTGGTTTACTCTATCGATTTTTATTCTAGCGGTTTTATCCGTGCTAGTCAGACTAGTTTCCGAGGATAATTTAAAGAAGAGTAATGTTTTATCCACATGCCCAGTGTACAAATGCATCTACAGAAGCAATATTGTATCTTTAGACTTAAACCAAGTTTCATTATTCAGTCACAAATTTTGAACCATATACAGGTATAAACAGCATATATAGATTGAATCCTTACCTTCCACCTCCATCAACTTCGTGTACTTTAGCATACAGTACATCCACTTTACTCGGTTCATCATTCATATAATCAACTCCTTCTAGCTTTATCCTGATTGGTTCCTTCGCAACACGTGGCCTTAAACAGCGTTAGTAACAATATGTATATAATCATCTTAAAATGGTCAATTGCTTTGTGGTTAATGGTGAAAGTTTGAATAACTGGGAGGGAGCTTTCTTTGACCAGTCATTGCAGCAATATTGATTGTTCTACCTCTAGTGTACCTGCAAAGGTTTGGAACTTTGTATAAAGGACATGTTTAAAGCTCATTAATATTTTTAGTCCCTGCGAGCAAAATTCATATAAAGTATGCTTGCAAAATCCATCTTATTTTAGACTCTGGGAGCTAAATATTGTTAAAATGGCAGTATTTTTAAAATGTAGCTGCACAAATTTAGATCGTGGGTGCATGTGAGCGGCGCTCTCAGGCTCTCTCGCACTTTCACTATTAATAGTTTCCTATAGAAATTTGAACTGAAGAAATTTGACTGCTCAACCGCGCATGCAGATAAATAATACAAGTCGACCTGTGGCATAAGTCTACTAACTTCCAGACGAAAGTCAGATCCTTCATCCAGGGGTGGAAAAAATAGGCGAGCACGTTAGCACTGCTCGCATGAAATGTTAAACAGCTGCAGGTAATTCCTTTGAATGAAGATTTGTTATTGAAAATTCGAAGGAAACTATGGGCGCAACAACGTATGGTTGACAGACATTATTCCTTGAATTTAAAACCATGATCGAATTGCATGGTCAGGTATAACACTATACGTTTATGCACATGCAGATTTAGCACAAAAATACTCCGTTGGTCTGCAGGAAGCTTTTTTTTTGTCTCCAGGTTGTGCTCCCAGGAAGAAAATTATTTTTCCTGCCCTGCCTTCATCCAAGTTCGTGTATATTGTTAATCGGTATCTACATTGCAACCAAACACTTATTTTACTCAGAATCTCCCTCCTGCAGAGATCCAGAAAACAACATTCGAAGGACGACATTCGCATAGACTAAAGATGATGATCATGATTAAGTAGAATATTTCGGCCATATCACAAAATCAAAAATTTGAATCTCATCTCTTTTTGGCATGCATGTGGTAATGATCCGCGCTCAAAATGTGGGCTCAAAAGTTTGAACCTCGTCACATTGGTTGTGCAGCCCTCGGGATGCTTTCTGCAGGTAACGCCTCTTGGGTCTTATTCTCTATAAGAAACGATCGTTCGCAGTAATTAATCTGTATTATAATTTGCCTTCAAAACTTCATCCATTATAATCTACTTATGTATCATATACTTCAAGCAATTTGCAGTTAAAACAGAATTGTTTGTGCAAAAATGCTATTAGCTGATGTGTACCTTCTTCTCATGAGCTAAAGTGAAGCATACAGTAACTATAATTACCAACCTTATAACGTCTTCGTAACACTCTTCTAACACTGATGATGCAGCGTCCTATAAAAACGGAACTAATATCAGTATATACAACAAAAGTATTCAGAATAGAAAAAAATTGGCTAATTCAGTAATCCACTGACAGACCAGATGTATGCATATACTAAAGGGCCGGTTGTACGAAGTACGGAAAGCGCTATCATACGGATAGTGAATTTTTTTGTCCGTTGATTGGTATAAACCAGATTAATAAATTAGTATTTAAAAATTTCTAAATACTATTGTCTTAGTATTTAAAAGTTTCTTTTTATTGATTATGAGGTTCAGTCTGGGTAGTTATATAGCTTTTCAATCAAGTTTATAACGGTTGAAAAACCACTACCTGGTGGACAGCGGCTTTAGTACAGATTAGCCTGAGTATCAGGCATTGAATTTTTAAGGATTCTTCAGTGGTCTACTTGATTTTATGATTCTAGTAACATTTCACACTATATGAGCATAAAAACGTATAATTTTAAACTTCTTTTCAATGTTAAACTCATTTACACAATACATGTCCTAGGGCCCTGGCTTTGGGGCGATAGGCCATTTTTTTTCTTTAGTGGTGGGGGAGAAATCCAGTGGGGCAAATGGGGCAGAGAAAAAATGCCTTGGTATCAGGCCATTGTCCCTGCCATACTCAGATTAACTGAGGAAGCACGTTTATATTTAAACATATCACTAACCACTTCTTTCTGTGTCAGAAGAGTGAGCATAACAATGGTAAGATGAAGTTTTGCAGGTTTTTGGAAAATACTTGCATCCAGGCCTTTTGACTATATAAACATAAATAAATTTTGAGTAAAATATTTCAATATTTTAAACTTTTTAAACTTAGATCAGCTGCAAATTGTTTTTACTTAGTAATAAGTGTTGAGTGTTTATATCCTTGTTCACACGGGACCAAATGAATTTGCAACCGTAATTACGCCTGAAACCGGCGTAAAAAAGTGTCGTGAAAACACTGCTGTGGGATTTGTTGCTAAAGTGAATTTTTTCTTTCGTTAATTGACTAGATCTGAAAATGATGCAGGTTTAAATTTTTTGTTAATATGCAAAATTTCAAGTTCACTTTTCACAAAAATAAACTATACCATTGGAAAATTTAAGAAAAAATGACATTTAAGCTAGTAGTACGATTTTTCAAGACGGTTTTGAGTTTTCAATGCTCAAAAATGTGGAAAACGCGCTAATTTATGCTATACGATTTTGCCAACCTTTACGGCTTTAATAGCTCGGGTATATGCGTTATAGACTCTAGTTCGATTTCTCGTAGATAAAGTGACGGGAGTATGCAATAATATTTAACTTACACCTTCAAAAACTAGTTTCATATTATTGTGACAGTGCAGAATACAATGCCAATGGAAAATTCATTGTTTCGAGCGGGATTCGAACTCGCATCTTAATGGTAATGGCAAGCTCCTATCCACAGCTGCTGTGTCTGTGCTTAAATAGGATTTTTATTTCCCTTTGTCACTTCATATATTTTCTTCCTTAACTATGAATAACTTTACGGCTACAGTATACGTATAACATATCTTGTCAATTTTTTCCCAACACAATTTTTGCCTGGCGTTTCTCTCAAAACTCTTCATTTTGGTCATGGCAGTGCAGGGTCATCTGAGCAATAGGAGACATACACTCAGTGAGAACTGAATAGACTATTTGGTGAAATAAAAATTTCATCTTCTTTTTCCTCTTGTTTTCTGTTGTATCTTGTAATGTTTTCAATGGATAGTTTGACTAGAATAAATTCATTTGAGAACAACGTTTATTATATACATACCTGTCTGCAAGTTTCCAATGCTATGGACTTAAATTCCTCCAGACGACTGATTATTTCCATGTTGTATAAAGGAAACGAAAGGAAATGTGTCGGAGGAATTTTCTGTCTTGACGATTCAATAATCAATTCAATTTTATGTTGACAAGATAATATGTCTTTCTTTCTTGCACTAGTAATAACTAAATCAATACATAATTCATAAAAATATAATACCGTACCTAATGTCATACCTACTTCTCGATACTTTTACAACAAAAAGAGTGGCTTTTAATTACCATTTCTCGGTTTTACATTAACACATATTAATGAATTTCATACGCTTGTGTTGCATAGCACAAGCTAAAAATATTTGAACATCCCAATATCTGCTCCACAATCCACAAAACCCAAAAATGTCAACACCTGAATGATTTGAAATTTGTTAGAGCTGTGCGCCGGAGCACCGGCATATTTTGGCAGACAAAATTATGAAACATTATTTCATACTGTATTTCAATGAACGTTTGGAAATGGAAAAATTAAGTTGAATGATTTGAACTGAGTTACTATAAAGTTTAATTACTTGCTCCGATCCAATTCGTGCTTTCGAAAATTCTGCAAGCGCATTGCTATCGCTTTTCATACAAAAATCCGCTGAGCCCGATGTATTTTGGGCGATGCCATGCCAGCATGCGGTTTTACTTTCTGCAAAACATTGTTTAAGCAAGCACCGAAACACGTATATTTGATAAGTAAAGGAGAAAGCTCAAAAAGGAATAAAATAAACTCTGAAATTAATTCTAAAACGCCAACAGTCACGAGTGACGCTCAGCTCAGCTGATATCTCCAGTGTGCGCCGGGCTTAAGCCCCAACATTTGAGGCATGTAAGAGAGCAATGATTTGAGTCGCCCACAATCTAGCTGGAAATAGTTATCATACTTCTCGGCTTAAATAAGCAGCAGCCTAAATGAATGACGAACAATTCGTATAAACAGTAAATTTTCATTAAGTGACAGATTATTTTGGACTAGCTTTTATACCTCTGAGGAGCTTATTACGAATGAATTGACCTTTTACGCAGAAAAAAACGTTTCTTTCTTTGAGTTAAGCCCTTGACAAAAATGGGTGTAGTTTGGGCGTGGTCTGGGCTTAACTCGAAGATTACTTACCTCTCCAATTATACTGTTCAGACCTCTAAAATGAATGTACTCAGATTGGCGGTGATTACTTACCAACTGGTCCCTCAAATCCAGGCCTGGGAAGTTTGATTTGAGTGTTTGTTTCTCTTTCAATCCTCAGTTTAGTTTCCATTTTTTTGCCACAAATAAACTTCACTAGTTCAATAGCCACATCTATGGAGGTTTTAAATCCATTGCCAGTTGCTTGAATCATTGCGCACTCTGGTTCATCCTCTTCATACTCATCATATCTGTACACTGTTGAGTTTACATGTCAAAGTTTATGAGGGAATTTATTATTTAATGGCAGATTTTATGGATGGTGGAAATTTTGCATTGAGAAATTCTGCAGGAACCAGGCCAAGATGGTTTTTTTAAAAATTTTGTAACACAACAGCAGAAAAATATATACTGCGTTTTCAGGTAGACCGTTCAATGCGAATAATTATCGCGTTAGTTTTAACGGTTGTACGATGACATTTCTAGGCAGATTTTCAGACGTTTCTATTATGTACCAGTCAATTCCAACTGCGATCATCCCCCCCCGGAGAACCCCCGGGATTTGACCAGAGTTTAATCACGCACAGGCTGGAATTTGACGCGAATCTGAGCACGCCCCGTCGGGCATTTGAGTCGGTTCGCGGTCGCACAAAATTAGTCGGCGGTTGCACGCAAAAAAATCGTAATCTTTAGAGCATCTTTACACATCTTTTACTCATCTTTATAAGTATTCATGTGGAAAATTATATGTAAATTTTACGTTTTATACAATATCATTTACTGTCGATGCAATGGAAGTGTTGATAAAATATTGCATGAATTCATTTCCTCAAGTTGATCAATTCATACGAATTCAAATTTCTTTTTACTTCCTGTGCGTTTCCTATTGGTCAATCGGTTCTGAAACGAAATCTAATTGGCTCATCTAAAAGTAACAGGAAGTTGATCAATTTTCTATCAAATGAATTGATCAACTTGAGAAAAGGAATTGGTGCAATATTTTATCAACACTTCCATTGCATCGACAGTAAATATGCCTTTGTTCAAAGTCTGGAACAAGAGCAGGGATGTTAAAAAAGCTGTTGTTGCTTCCTGTTTTACTGAATTTGTCTCAAAAACAAAACAAGAAAAAAAGCAACAAAAACATTTATTTTTTTTTTTAATGATTTGCCCTGCATGTGATATACCATTATGTTACATAAAAAAATAAAAATAAAGTAGATACATTTAGGCTAGGAGTCTATAGAAACCTTGAACAGGCTTTTCGATTTAGACCCCTAGTTTAAAGTCTTGGTGCTAATATATATAGTTAAATTGTCATCGGTTCTAAGTATTTACAAATAGTGAGGTTATGTTACATTCAATACTTGTATTAATTACATAGAAAGTGGATTAATTACATAAAAATGTTATTATTTTTAAATTACTGTCAACATTATTCCAAACGTCCACCCCTTTCGCTGAAAGCGAGTGCTTGACGTAGTTAGTACGCTGATAAGATTTATGAAGTTGAGTTGAGTTTCGAGTGTTGTATTAGTGAATTTGGTTGTTTGAAATAAAAACGTTTGTGAAGAATTTTGGCAAGCTGTTTAAATGATGATATTGGAACATGAAAAGACTTGTAAAGTAGTTATTTAACTTACTGAGATTCAAGATCTGTAGGTCAATAAATATTTTTGTGAATTCTTGAATTCTTGTTTTGTATGTGTTACTCCATATTAGATTGCCATAGATTAGATATGGATAGACTAAAGCATAGTATATTAGTTTTAAAGTATTCAAATTTGTAAAATGACGAATTTTTGCAATAATTCCTGCAGATTTTACAATTTTCTTTGCAACGGAATCGATATGATCGTTCCATGATAAACATTCATCAATAACTACTCCTAAAAAGGTTGTACTTTTGACTTGTTTGATATCGTCGTTATTGATGGACAACTTTACTGTCTACGTGTTTCTTTTTTTTTTTTTGAGGATCGAAATAAAATAAATTTGGTTTTTGATTGTTTGTGTTTAGCCATTCGGCTATTTTGTCCACTTTCGTCTGAAGAGTTTCATTTAGTGTTTTGAGGCATGAGTGACTGTAAAATATATTTGTATCATCAGCAAACAATAGCATTGATGCTATATCACTACAGTTTTGAATATCGTTTATATAGAGGATAAAAAGTAGCGGACCCAATATTGAACCTTGCGGGACCCCAGTTTGTACTATCATTTCGCTTGACATTATTTGTTTATATTTTACAATTTGTTTCCTGTTTGTAAGATAATTTTCAAACCAAAGTCTTGCTATGCCACGAATTCCGTAATACTCTAATTTACTGATCAGAATCTTGTGATCAATGGTGTCAAATGCTTTTGACAAATCTAAGAAAATACCTATGGTGTATTTTCCGTGATCGATTTCTTTTGTAATTTTGTTAACAAGTTCGATTATTGCAAGTTCAGTTGATCTGTTTTTTCTGAATCCATATTGATGGTCAGATAAAATATTGTTTTTTTCAACGTATTTTATTAGTCGTTTGTACATTAATTTTTCAAGTAATTTAGCGAAACAAGTTAAAACTGATATTGGTCTATAGTTTTCAAATTTATTTTCTTCATTTGATTTGAATATTGGTGTTACCAGGGAAGTTTTAATCTGTTCAGGAATAATACCTGTAGTAAATGTCAGATTAAATATATGTGCAAGTGGTTTTGATACTTCGGTACTCACTTGTTTAATCGTTCTAGTACTCAGACCATCATACCCTGGGCTTTTATTCAAGTTCAAATTGTTCATTTCATTTTGTACCTCAAATTCTGTTATCGGATCAAGAAATATGCTGTTTAGATAATTATGAGTCAGATATTTGCTAAAATTTGTATTGGATGTATTTGTAATTTTCTTCGCTAGGTTAGGTCCTACAGTATATTTACGAAGAAGTTATTACATTTATTTGCAATTTCGATCAAACTGATCTTTAATAGTATTTGTTGTGTTCATATCAGTAAATTCTTTTGGAAGTTCTTTTTTTTTGTTTTTCTACTTAGTATCTCATTTATTGTTTTCCACATCATCTTTGAATCATGTTTATATGTAATTAGTTCTTGTTCATAATATTTCTTTTCGGACAATCTAATTACATGATTTAATCGATTTTTATATTTTTTGTACAAATTCTCATTTATTTTATTAGGATCTGATAAGTATTTACTGTAGAATTTATTTTTCCTTTTGATTGACTTTAAAACACACTTTGTCATCCAGGGGCTTTTGTACTTGTTAAACTTCTTATTTACTTTCATTCTTTTAATTGGAAAATGTTTATCATAACTAGCTGTGAATAATGCGGAAAATTGGTTAAAGGACTCGTTTGGATTATTGCAAGAAATCGTTCCTTCCCAACATACATTTTTAATTTCATCTGTAAAAAGCCTAGAATTGTTTTTATTATATATCCTTTTTGTATAGTATTTCTCTCCTGTGTCTTCATTAGGCCTTCATTAGGGTATTAAAAAAAAAGTTTGTGAATTATTGGTAGATCTGAAATATCACTAAAAAGAATTCCATTTATGCTTGAATCAATGTTGTCAATGTTAATATTAGTAAAAATATTGTCTATAAGTGTAGCAGTATTGGATGTTATTTGAGTTGGTTTTGTCATGAGTGGGTAAAAAGAAGATGTAAAAAGTTGTTCTGTAAATTTATTGGCAAAATCACAAGATTCCGATTTAAGTAAATCAATATTAAAATCTCCCATGAGATAACAGATCTTATTCTCTTTATCTACTTTGCTCAAAATTTCATTTATAGCATCTTGAAATACTTCGATCTTATTATTTGGTGGCCGATAAATTACTCCGACGATAATATTTTTCCCAATTTCATGAGTGGCTATCTCTATAAAAGTAGATTCAATGGTGTCTTCTATGTTAACATTAAGGTCTTTGCGTAATTTATGTTGTAATTTTTCAGCAACGTATATACCTACTCCACCACCCATTTTTCCACTTCTGTGCATACTAATGAATCATAACCTTCCAAGTTAAAGTTTTTATAGTTCTCATCGCCTAGCCATGTTTCTGTCAAACCAATTATCTGAAAATTTTCCTTCGTAGATTTGATTAGTTGTTTAAACATATCAAATTTGTTTGAGATGCTTCTTATATTTAGACACGACTGAGAATTGATTTTGTTGATTTGAAGTTTGTGTTTTATTAAGACTTTCCGGTATATAGTAATTACACTTTAGTCTACATGACATATCTATTAACATCAACATGACATAAATTTAATGGCTTCTCTATTAAAAACTTTCACTTTTGTTCATGTTAGAATTAATTTTTGATGATTAATGATATGTTCTTTCAGTACAAATGCACATATACACATAAAATTTTTGCCCGCACCCTGGGGAATTTGACGATGGTTTTCGCCTGCACAGTGGGGAATTTGACCAAAATTTTATCGAAAAGTCAAATTCCTGGGGGTTTGCCCGGGGGAGGGGGATGTGATATCACAGTTGGAATTGACTGGTACATAAGGTGTGGCTTCAATGTTTAATTTCAAAATTTAAACGTTGTAATTGCAACGGTTAAATTTTGAAAATAAACACTGAAGCCACGTCTTAGAAACATCTGAAAATCTGCCTAGAAACGTAATCGTACAACCGTTAAAACTAACACAACAACTATTCACATTTAACAGTCTACCTGAATTCGCAGTAGTTCAAGTCTTCAGGGAGCAACAGTACCTGAACTTGAAAATTGAACCAAGGGCCCCAAATTATTGTGCATATAGACTTGCACAACTTCTTGCCTTCCACTAGGGTATGTGTATCATGCCAACTTGTGCACTAACATGAACACTTAGGGCACTCAACATGTCCAGCTTGTCATTCCACTATTATCATGAGCCAAGGATATAAACAATGGTGCGGTAAGCCATAATTTGTTTGAATTCATATGTGTTAGGGGCTGTTTATATGGAAGCAAGCCAGCCCAGGTACCCGAGCTAACTCGCTTCCCCCGAGATGAATTTCACCATGCGTTTACATGAAACTTTTGGAGTGGGCTGACTAATGTGAAAACAAATACAAAATTTTGTGGGAAAGTCAATTTGGATTTTGGGCATGCACACAAAGACATTATATTTTACTTAAAAGCCGAGCCAACTCCGGTAAATCGGTCATTCCAGAAAAGATCCACACTCCCCCCATGGAGGAAACTTCTGCCGTCCGGTGGGGGAGGGGAGAGAAAATTTTTACTGATAATAGTTAATGTATTAGGACACCCGATGGGGGTAGGGGTATTAACTTCCAATTTCCTCCGTGGGGGTGGTATGGATGTTTTCTGAAATGACCCAATGTGTGTTATGGCAAACTACCCAGCCCACTTACCCGAGGTCTCGTGTCACACAAAGCGGGACCTCGGTTAGGCGGGCCAACTCGGTTCTCATATAAATGCAAGATGAAATTTAGTAGGAAATATTAACAAAGCCGGGATCATATAAACAGCCCCTAAGTCAAAATCGCAACCAGTCAGTGGTCAGTCCTACACGGGTAAAAATTGATCAGGTTGTTCGGCGTTGTTCAAACAGGAGTGAACAATGTTGTGCTGCACCCCGTGAACAATATTGTTAACAAGTTGTTCAACCATCAGTACTGTTGCAAGTTGTTAACATGATTGTCAACAAGTTGCAACAATGTTGATGGTTCAACAACTTGTTAACAACATTGTTCACGGGGTGCAGCACAACATTGTTCGCTCCTGTTTTGAACAACTTGCATCAACATGATGATTTTTACGCGTGTAGGACTTGTCTGCAGCTTAATTATTAAAAAGACTTAGCAAACCTACCAACATTATCAGACGCATCATTAAATTGGCTGCCTTCGAACGCTAATTTTCTATAATGTCTGTTGCCGATTTTTGTAATATGCGGACGTAACATAGCCATATCATCCAAGTCCATTTTGCTATTTTGAAATGAAAATGTTCAAAATGTTTCATAAACTCAGATAAACCACTGAGCTATACTTAATATATCTGGAGATCGTGCTCCAATACCTCGTCAGTCAAAAATGTGTGGCCAAAAACATGGCGGATTTTGGCCAAATTTACGTCATTTTGACGTCACAATCGACCTAAATTTATGGTGAACACCACTGACCTAAAATACTAACGTGAAGAAAAAAGTTATTCACACCCCCCTTTCAATTTGCTTAAAACAGAAGGAAGTAAATTCAAAATTTCGGTCGGAAATTTCTATATTGAAACGAGACATTTGCAACCATGCCAACTTTTTGTTCAATTCCTGGTTGCCAAAAATCTACTGAAAGAAAGGACCTGTCCTCACATGCGTAAGGCTCGTATAATCTCTTTTTTTGTAATAATTTAACGCATGCTGTATTGCTGTATTGAATGCGTAAATTTGTGAATTCATGAAATTTATTGGCAAGCAACATACAATACAATTTATGTTAGTGTACTACAGTGCAAAAGCAGAACAAAATTTTAAAATGTTGACAAGCTTGTGGAGCTGTTGTCGAGCAAGTATTTATTTTCATGCAAGTTGATGGATGTGATGCAATGATGAAATCCTATCGATATCCTAACAGATAATGCTATGTTAAAAAATTTCAAATGAGAATTTTAACAATGTGATAAAGATACGACTAGCTTTAAATGTACAAAGCCTTTCACTCATTGTATTGTCTTTATTGTGGACTAAACCATGTGTTGTCTAGTGTGGCATTGTTTATATTGTAAGTTATAGGTATCGTATTGAACAGTGTATTAACTAGACACTAAAAACAATTGTTCATTTACTTCAAAGCTTTCCAGATGAGAAGAGATTCCCTGAATATTTACACAGCATATGGGTGAAGAATATAAGCAAACTTATGCCAGTGAAGTTTGTTCCTATGAAAAATAGTCGTTTGTGTTCAAAGCATTTTAGTGCTGATATCTTTGAGGAGGATTACAGCCAGACACCAGTGTTAAAGCCATATCCTGTACCAACAATCTTTAATGATTGCTTTGGTCAGCTTGGTTGTGATCTTTACAGTTTATTATCAGTACAATTAATGGTCATACTGTACATGAGGGGTAATTAACCCATTAAGTGCCAGCGCTCTCCCCTTGACGAGTAAAATTGTCTGGCGTTAGACAGAGTAAAATACTAAAATAGGGTGCTTCGCCACTCAATGGGTTAAATTTATTCCTTAATTTTTCTGCTAACAACTTTAAGTTATTTGTACACATTTTGGTCTGTTTAGCTAAGCCAAGATTGCTACATTTACATTTATTTTGACCATTTGTGTTAGTGTACAAATTAGGCTAGCATAATTACTGTAGGTGCTGACCATCAAGTAGGGATTGACATGCATAGAATTGGTTGAGCAGTTTATTTAATTAAATGGGTGTTGTATGTGTTTAAAAATAAAGAATAAATTTTGTTGTGATTTGAAATTGAATATATTATTTATTCTTATTACTAAATGTAATTATATAATTATCTTGGAAAATCTTTTTTTGAATAAAATATTTTTTTTAATAATTCTTCACTGTCGTTCCAATTGAATTGTTCCTCAAATATTGATTCAATACATTACCTCGGGCTAACCAATTCATTTGATTAAGTTCCTCAAGATATTCATACACTTCCTAGTATAATTGTAAACTTCCTGTTAATTAAATGGTTTGAATGCACCAATCACCTTTGTTGTTTGTGCAACTAACCAATCATAAATAGAAAGGAAGTGACCAGAAATGATTAAATACTTGGAATTGGCTCTTTCACAGGAAGTGTATGAATATCTGGAGGAACTTGATGAAATGAGATGCTTGTGTGATGTTACTCTGAGTGTATATCCACACCGGGCAGGCTTGAAAAATATACCTGGCCACAGTGGGATTTGAACATATGACCTTTGGAATACTAGCCCAAATGCCAATGCTCTGTCAACTGAGCTACGCAGTCAGGTCGGTTTGAATCCCAATATGGCTTGGCATATTTTTCAAGCTTGCCCGGTGTGGATATGCACTCAGAGTGACATCACACAAGCATCATATTCACAAATATCATGGTTATTAGATTACACTGATATCGAAGGAACTAGACTCAGTTCCGAAATATTGCATACTCGAACTGCCCAGACTGTATAGCTCAGTTGGCAGAGCATTGGGCCAGTATTCCAAAGGTTGTAGGTTCAAATCCCACTGTGGCCAGGCATATTTTTCAAGCCTGCCCAGTGTGGATATCCACTCAGAGTACGTAACATCACACAAGCATCTTATTCACCTGAGTACATGTATTACACCAACACAGCAAATATCTTGATGGAATGAATTGGTCAGCCCGAGGTAATGTATTGAATCAATATTTGAGGAACACTTAAAAATAAGGTATGAATCGCATAAAATGCAGATATCAAAATCAAACATTGTAACTCGAGCATAAAAATGTGCATATTTGTTTTAAAAGGCGATTGTTCCTTGAATGTTCAATGAAATAGTGCCATTGCCTTTTACAAGGAAGACCATTATAAAGAAATACACTTGACTTTCTTCATTGCCACCTGGTACTTAGTACAGATATCCCATATTTTCTTGATAAATTCATACCTGAAAGCGGAATACATACAGGTGTAAAAAACTTTAATGGTGATATAAGTGCTTTATATTCCAAAGAGTTGCTTTTCCCCACAATTTACTAATAGAATAAACTGGTATTAAAATCTCTAAAAAAACCTTTGTCACTCAGGGAAATTTACATTGGGAAATTTATAGCAGTACGGTTTTCAACAAGCTATATTTGCTTAATTTTACTTGCTGGGGATTGTTATAATACTCGTGTTTTAAAGAATAATCTTGATAGTCAGTTGCAACACAAATTCACAATACAACAAGAATTGATAAATCATTTCAATGACTTACATGCTTTGTTCTTGTGGCCGTCAAGCTCCATTCATGTCTTTTTTTATTAATGGCTTTCGGTCTTTATTGATTTATACGCGCAGTTAGAATAATACTGTATTTTCAAAAGGACGAAAATCAAAATACACTCCATCGTCGATCAACTAATACAAACAACAGTACATAAATGATAAATCACTGTAAAATCAGGGGGGGTTGAATTTTGTCGCCCACGGACATTCGAGCCATGGGTCAGTGGAAACTGCCATGAAAATAGGTCGATTGTGACGTCAAATCCGCCATGTTTTTGGCCACACACTTTCGTCGAGAGCACGATCTCCAGATATATAAGTATAGCTCAGTGAGATAAACTCAAACATCAACAAATCAATACTTCATTTTACATACAATATAATGGATGTGTATACCAGTGATAATGTCTAACCTGGGTACGAGCCCAATTAGCCATTCCGAAGTTGATGAGTGGACTGGGGACGAGTGTTAAAAAGTGCCCAAATTAAAAAATGAACCAAATCACTAAAAAGACCACCTCAAAATTGGTAAGTATACAAAGTTTGAAGACGTTTACATGAATATATACCTTCGAATAATAAGCTTTCGAAAATCCGATATTTACTATGAAATGTATTGCAATTTTTGTTTTTGGAACGCGCGTCCCAAAAACAATCTTTTAATCAGTAATTTCATAATTTTCGAAAGCTTATTATTCGAAGGGTATTCATGTAAACGTCTTCAACCTTCGTATACTTACTAATTTTGAGGTGGTCTTTTTAGTGATTTAATTCATTTCTTAATTTGGGCACTTTTTAACACTCGTCTGCAGTCCACTCATCAACTTCGGAATGGCTAATGACAAAAAGAGTTTTCCCTGGCCATAGGCCAACTACACCCATTGCCATAGACCAATTTAGGATACAGATTCATGTCTCACTGTTCATGCACGAGTTAGATTCATGTCTCGCTGTTTATGAATGCTGAGCCCTCTCCTTACCTTGACCGCTGACCCTAACTCATGAACAACGGGACATGAATCTACAACCGCCCAAATGGGTTTAGCTTTGCACCAATCACCATTGCAGTTCATGTGTCATAACAGATTCTTGGCCATGGTTTACTGGTAATTGGTTATAACGTAACTGTATATATAGTATAGGCTAATAATAGTATGTAAAACATTACAGGAATTAATATCATTATAAAACATATATAAAACATAAGAAACATTAAAAAACATGAAATCATTATTACAACGTATTGTATTTTTAAAATACTTGGAAAAACAGCTTATTATAATTATTAGCTATAATAATAATTCAATTGTCGATAGAAAAATTTCAGTGTCTTCGAAAAAAGTTCGTTATTTAATTAACAAATATAAAACATTTTCCGTGTTGATATACAATTAATCAACACGAGTGGGAAAACGATTTCACACAATTTCGAAAATTTCACACAATTTCGAGTTTTCCCAATTTCCACGAGGCACGAGTATTGATATAACTGTATATCAATGCGGAAAAAGTTTTATATTTGTTTTATAATATAGCAGAAAGAAATATAAAGAAATTTTCCGTGTTGATATGGAGTTATATTAACACGGCTCTTAGCCAATCAGTGTTCAGAATTTACAAATGCTATATTATAAACATTTATAATACATTACTTAACTAAGCCACAGAATAAGGCACACAGAAGGGCCACTTACGTCGGAAGCTTTGAAGTTTCTGTTACCCTGGCCGCCATCTTCCTAGCCAGTCGATTACATTTTCTGGCCAATAAACGCGCTGTATTGGCTGAAGGCCCCGCCTTCTGGCCAGTCAATTGCACATTTTTGCACAGAAAAATGGTGACACGTTGCATCGCTGAGTGGCCCTTCTGGTACTGATCTTTATTCTGTGACTAAGCCCTAACTGCATATGACGTCCACTTTTTGTTTTAATTAATAATATGATTTTACTGGTGAGAGGGAAAACGTCTGTAAAAAGACTCACAAACTCATTTTATAATCATTTATGCACAATGCCGACTCTTCCCAATTTATTCGGGCAAAAGTCAGACAATTTTCCAATGAATGCACCTTACGGCTGTTGGACCTGGATTAATTTTAATTAATTAGACGATAACATGTGCTGGTAGTTCAATAAGCTGCATGCACCCAAATGCGCCCTACTTATTATTTTACTCTGTCTTACGCCAGAAGATTTTACTCGTCAAGTCTTGCGCTTTAATAAACAAAACTAAAAGGATTACTTCTAACTAAAGAACTAATATTAAACTAAGTCATTCATAAAAAAAGGTTATTTTATAACATTTTTAGCGTCGTTTACAGTTCCAAGAAAGTTTCATTAAAAGAAAGACTTCAGTGTTGATCGGTTTATCCACACGTCTTCATCGCCTCCACTCTGAGGGACGCGTTTAGCTTGTTTTCTAAGAATCTTGTGCACACGCATGGGCAGTGTTGAAAATCGATCTCTGTGCAGGAAATATGAAGCTGGTTCACCGACGTGTTGTCGGACAATTTCTGAACTATGACTAGGGTCGTGAATATGTGCCTTTACATTACGCAGAAATCTCAACAAACTGGTTATGTTGTCGTTGTACTGATGCGGATGCATACACATTCCATCTAAAATCTAAAAAAAAATAAAACATTAGAGATAAGTGAAGCTCATTTTCTATACTGTATCTCGACTGTACTGCAAAGTAGTGATTCAAAAACGTAATTTATACCAAGGACGCATCTTTCAAGTCCCACCATCCATCCATCACCATATAGACAAATTGGCCATTGCGCCAAGAGAGGCCGCCACTCCATGAAAACATTCGCAATGGCTTGGCTTAGACGTTCAGGGGAGCGAGTGCCTCTCGTAAGCGCACTGGCCAGGAACATGGCGATAGCCGTGGCGGCGGTTAGGAGTTTTTGGCCGAGTCGGGCCGGCCTCTGTATCTTCTCTGTAATTTTGCGACGCTTACTTGGACAATAACAATTGCTGTTTTGTTGTATACGCGTAAATATTGCTGGTTAGCGAAGTCCGCAGCTGGTTATGTTATGTTTGCTACACTTATATGTATCAGTCAAAACGTGCAGGTATATATATATAACTATGTGGTGTGTAAGTTCTATTCTTATGGAGGTACAAAAGAAAGAGAACGCGTAAAATCTTACTTCTAGCCTTTCTTTAGTACAGACTTCACATATCTTAAACATTTCTAGCCCCTGTCAATTAGCTTTGTGGACTTGCGCGAAACTTACAAAATACAAAACGAACATTGGGTAGCCTCGCAGTAGCTCGGAAGAGTGATTTTCATTGGCTCGATTTGACAATTGCTTTTGTGTTTATAACTGCATTAATGCAGACGCTTTGTTAAGTAAATTATAATTAATATATTCAAATCGTCTCAGATGGTTGCACTCTACAATGTACTGTATATAAGGCGTGGGTGGGAACTATACAGGGTGTCTCAAAAAAAACCAAAATCATTGAAATAACGTATTGTTCGAATTTCAATGCCGTAACACAAAGGATTTTGACAGGGTGATTAATTTGTTTTAAAAAATTAAAATATCTTTGTAAAGTGAACGTTTGTTTGCTCATAGGAATTTAAAAATGCTTCGTAAATTGTAATATGCGTAATATGCATTCGTGGGTTTAGTACTTTATGCCTGACATAACAAGTTTACGCTGAGTATTCCCATTCATTATAGCAGTTATGTCAATCTTTTATGCACTCGTGGGATTAACTTAGTGCTAGGGCATTGAATATCGAACAATACGTCAATTTCAATGATTTTGGGTTTTTTTGAGACACCCTGTACAGGGTGTCCCAAAAAAAACGAAAACTATTGAAATCACCAATAACAATTTAATTGTTAGAATTTGAATGCCTTAGCGCTCTGTTGGTTCCCACGAGTGCATAAATGATTGACATAAGTAAATTTTATGCATAACGAAACTGTTTAAGAAGCTGTTTTTAATTCCCAGGAGCAGAAAATCGCGCACTTTACCAGGAGATATTCCGAACTAAATTCTAATACATGCACCTTGTCAATATTTTACGCATCATTACGTCCAGCTGTTTGGTAGGGCATTCAAATTTAACAATAAGTGATTTCAATAGTTTTCGTTTTTTTGGGGACACCCTGTAGAACAAATTGAAAACTGTTTGTTACAAGTCAAGGGTATATCGAAAATCGTAGCCTGCGAACAGGCTCTCAAGCTGAATTGAGAGCCTGCATCGATGACTAATGAATTTGAATATCTGCCCCGTAACGTTCGTTTTTCAAAATATGGAATGTCTATCCTTATATGGTGTTGTTTACAACTTTCGTGCAAACAAAATTTAGACCGTGCAAACTAAATTTAGACCGTACAGTTTATACTGTTTTTCGAAATATAAGATATTCAAGCAAAAGTTCCAATGTTTTAAATACTGTTTTCTCAAAACAGAACATTTCGTGCTTTGAGATAAGATGGCCAAGACCAATTTGTTCAGTTAATGTGTTTTTATGCATAGTGCTTAGCAGTTGACATAATATAGAGCTCAGCGGAAACATATAAATTATAGCATCTGACCAATGAGAATTCGCGTCACGATTTGAGACGCAGATATTCAAATTCATTAGTCATCGATGCAGGCTCTCAATTCAGCTTGAGAGCCTGTTCGCAGGCTACGAAAATCGTTATTGAACATCGCTCAATATATTTAAGGAACATCGTTCACAAAGGATACAAGAGGTCATAAGAGTAAGTACCTTATTTGTAATATACTGTAAAGGAATCTCTACTCTATAGCTTATATTATTGTAATTTTGTATTTGTAGTTTAAACCGTATACGTGTAAATAAAGATCTAACGAAAATCGAAGCGCGTTTAAATCGTGGCCTGTAAGGCAAGAAAAAGAACTCAAAGATTCTTGCACCTATAGTGTTTACAACAATGAATTGCTTCGTTCTTTAGAAAACCCCCATCCAATTGGAGACGACCTTCCACTGTGAGGCTTCCCCGAACATTACATCATGACATAATATCGTGTGGTGAAATATTTAAATTTTATAATTTTACCGGTTTATTTAATGACCTTTAATACATATGCTAATTTAAAAGTTGCTCCATAACTTTCCTTGAAGTTATTCAATGTCCAGCTACATCATAATAATGTTTCCTGATTCCTTTCAAATACAGTTCAAACACCAAAGTTGTTCTATGTGCTACAGTGTTTCTATGTGCTACATCAATTTCGTAAAATTATTATATAAAGAATTTACCTGTGATGGCTGTATCTTCGCCTTCCATCCGTTAGGATAATCTTTTCTTGTTTTGTGTCGGATATTATTCAACTTTTCAACTACGTAACAATGCGTATTACCCTTTATTTCCGGTTCATTTCCCATTTCAACCAAGAAATGAAATTGATCATCAATTGATTTTAAATACGGATGCGTGAGAGCTTCTTCTGCAGAGGGACGATCATCGATGTTGTTATGAAGAAGCCAAGAAACAAAATCTCTTTCAACAGAATCAGTTAGTGTATCTAAAGAGACTAAGTAAAATAGCGGGACTTTAGATTTAATACGCTTCTGACACATACGCCATAGATATATACTTGTACATGTAATACGGGTCTATTTGAAATAAATCTTTTCTAGGAAATCCACGCCCTTTCAGAGAGGTCAGAGCACAGCACGCATGCCACTTTTCCATTGGGGTAAAGAAACTGGCATTTACATGGTGGTGTACTTCCTCTGATTGTCACTAATTAAATAAATGTAAAACCTGGAAAGAGATACACAAATACGTACGTACAGTACGCACGATTCTGGGGCCGGTTGTTCGAAAGCCGGTTAAACTTATAGGTTAAAGTTGATCTTCAAAGCAATCTTTCCAACAGCTTGTTTATAAACTTGGAAATATACTTTCAGAAATGTTCCGTCTGAATCAATAAATTCTATTGAGTCCTGAAAGGGCGATGGGGAGGATTCTAGAATCCATTTCCCAGCCTTTTAAAACACGATATTCTTCTGCATTTACTAGACCGCGGAAAAACGTCTGCGCATGCGTCAACATTACTGAAATCTGTCGTGCGAACGTTGTGTCAAGTGTTCCGAAGGTTGGCAAAAACTCAAAATGGAAGCAACAAGGAGCGACTTCGATATTTTGCCTTTTCTATGAAAATGCAAGCGGAAAAATGAACGTGACAACCTAAAAACTAGAAATAATTAGTCTACATGTGCAAGAAGTAGTAATAATAGTATTACACAACAAGAAAATGAACCAAAGGTGACTGTCGATAAACTTTATTGTATAAAACGTTCTCCATTCGCATTTTTGTGTCTGTCAACCCAAATCTCATTTTCCAGTCCAAAAACAGACAAATCTCAGTTCCCATTTTACCCCTTCAAGACCCTCCTCAAACACAAAGCAACGGAGTCAAAAATGTTAGGTACACGAGTCAATGAGTTATACCTGGGTTACCACGATATATGTTATTTGGCCTTTCATAACTTATATCACCGAATGGATGTTTTCCCTTCGTCAACACATAAAATGATAGCATTCCTGCCACTTGAATATCGGACTTTCGTTTATACACGACGGGTTGATTCTCACCATCAATAGGAATGGATTCTGCAGCTTGCCATTCAGCATTGCCTTTTCCAGATGTATAATTTGTCGAACGTCCTATAAATCCATACAAAACGCAAATTGGTGGAAAGTGGATATTATCGAAAAGTTCCGCTTTTGTGTAATAAGGACTTTCCTCACATTTAATTATGGATGCCATGCAAATAAATACATGTGTTGTTTCCTTCACTACAGGGCTTAAAATGCTTCAGAAATGTCATACGAGCTCGTACGTTCGACAACTAAGGTCGCGTTTTATCGCTTGGCGTACTAGTTTAATTTACCCAAGCATTATTTTGTTGTGTTTATTTCCTGGATATAAGAAATAAAAATGTTTCGCGAGGGTTAACCAAGTTTTGAAAACTTGCTGCAACAAACAAATTCCAGTCAATTCACCAGCTAACGGTGTAAACATGAAATTTTCGATATAGACTAATTTGAGCATGGAAATTTCCTTTCTGTTAGGCAGACACACTCGCATCCAGAGGAAATAAGGTTTACAAAGTTAAGGTGTTACTTTTCATGTTACATTGTTAATGTTATGTTTTCTGGTATTATATGACATTGCAGGTTGTGTGAATGCTGCATGATACTGCTTCCTCGCTTTTCAAAATAAACGCCTTATATAAAACCGATTACAGACGAGCATTTGCTCGTCTGTATAGGCAACTTTACCAACAGGGGCGTGGCCAGACCCAAACGAGTGGGAGGAGGGGGTATAATCGTCCGGTCACCTGGGGGCATGGTCCCCTGGAATATTTTCTATTTTGCGCATGCAGTTTAGACACGTTTTGTGACAACCTGAAAATTAAGCCAGAGATTTGGTATATTTTATGTCATAGATAAAAATATTAAGAGGTTACGCCCCTCCCCCCAGTTTCTCCTCAGTTTTGAATTACAAAATTGGTTCTGAAAAAAGTGGGGGGCAAGGGGGGAATGAGGGAGTTCAGACCCCCCTACGTCTCTGTTTGCCAATTTTTACTATGACATTTTATTATTCAAAATGCAAAAATGCCTAAAATAGAGAAAAGGAGCAACTGCTGTGGGTAAAAAACTTTCTCAATACGTTTTTGTTAGCGAAAGTCAAAATTACAAGGTAAATTAAGTAATTACAAAGTAAGGGACGGTAGACAAAGAGATTCGCGGACTTGTTCCGCGATGGTTCTGATCCCCTTCCTCTTCGCGGACCAGTCAAATGTCTTGTTTCACAAACTAGCGATATTTGGCTTTATCAAAGATAGTGTTTCCAACAGCACTCGGAATTGTTTACATGAACATCGCATGAAATATCGTTCTAATTTAAATTAAAACAACGCGACCAGCTTTCAGCGACTGAAATATGTTCATATATTATTATTATTATTATTATTATTATTATTAGTATTATTATTATTATTATTTAGGCACACGGTAGCCTTCCAGTTGCCTGCTTTTCAAAGGACCGTGCGGTATACAAAAGTAGATATAAAATTAATGTTCCCTGCAGTTTATAACAATTATTTATAAATATACAATATATATGTACGTTGATGCAGTTACTGTAGTACTGTGTGCTTAGCTTGTGAGGTGTGCTTGGCTTGTAAAGGGCGTTTGTCTTTTTGTTGTCATATACGATAAACAGTGCCGAGAAAAATATTCTAGGAGTATAGTTAATGAGGAACAACTGAAGTGGCATGAACACATCGACGCTCAGTGCAAAAAAAAATTTAAAATTTGCTCCACTAAGTTTGTTAGCTGCATGTAAGCTAATCATGAATATTGTTTAGATCTATATTGATTTCACCCCCAATTTTCGCTGCTGAATTCCCATGACTTAATATGTTAGTATCATCAGCGAACATTGATGCTTGTGAGTTGTGTTGTTTCTAAGCAGTTTGGCTAATCGTTTATGTAGATTAGAAAGAGCAGTGGACCAAGATTAGATCCCTGGGGAACACCCCATTCAGTAAAATGTCTTTTGTTTGTACTAGAAAGTTGTTTATCTGGTTGTAGACTAGCTTTTCGAAAATCTTATATATAGGCCTATACCATAGTTGCCGTATAGTCTGTTTTTTCCCCCGACTTGTAAATGGAGGTAACTTTTGCAGTCTTCATTTCAATATGGAAATATTCCTATATTCAAAGATAAGTTAAAAATACATGCTAGTGAATTAATAATCGGCTTTTAATCATTTATTTGAAACTTTGTCAGTGGTGGTGTTTTATCTTTTATCCTTTTTAATGTGATTGCGCTGGTGTGATGCTTTCAAATGTAAATACTTCGAGTGGAGTGGCATTGGAAATAGTATTATTTGCAGGCCTTGGAATAAATAAGGCATTGGAAATAGTATTATTTACAGGCCTATTGTAGAAAAAATATTCATTGAATTTGTATAAATGTGTATATTAAGTGTAGTATTAAATTTGTAATTTGAGATATTTATATATCCCCAGTTACTGTATTTCCATTCACTTTTCTCTTTGATTATCGTACTTTTGGATTGCTTGTTGGAGTTTTATATGACTCATGCATGAAAACTGTCGAGTTTAGATTTAGACTGACAGCTTTCTTTTTCAGGTAATCTCTACGATAAGTCATAGCGTTTTTAATTCGTTTGTTAGCCACGTTTTATTTCGCTTTTTACCCTTCTTTGTCTGACAGACTGGTGCGTGGAAGTTTGCAATGTCAAGGAACGTTTCTTTCCGGTCGTTCCATGCTTTATTGGAGTCAGTCTCTTTATCTATAGGTCGCTAAACGCTATTCTTAAATCATGTTGAAATTTGGCAGTCTTAAAATGTTTGAATTGTCTTGTTTCGACTATCTTTGGTTTTTGTTTTGGAATGCCAATTTTTCTACATATGTAATGTAGAAGGGGCAGGAACAAGCTTAAGAGTTTTTCTGTCATCTATTTTGGTTAATATTACGTCCAAAAGGGATTGCGTTGTATTACTATTAGTTATCCTGATTAATGCATTAATATGTTCCCGTAGCTGATACGTCCATTAGGTCTTTTAGTTTAGTCGTGTGTGCATGCATTGCTTTCTGTTGCAAGGTTACACTAATTTAGGTCTCCTGTTATTATTGTTTCTTTTCTTTCGTCATCCAGTCTTTGTAAGAAGCTTTCGAATATATCAAGTAAATCAAAAGAACTTATAATATTTAACCATATAATCTTTTCTGTACATAACAAATTACTTAATCTTCACTATATATATATAATTATATATCAATGTAATGTAACCTATAGTATCATTCTTGATGACTGAATTAGTCGAAAGCCAGAATATTAAAATGTTTATTTTCGGAGTTACCGTTGTTTTATATTTTATTAAAATACTCATGCAGTGGTTCCCGTAATAATATCAAGTAAATCAATATGTGAGTTAGGTGGCCGATACCATGTCGAAATAAGCAAGGGTACCGGTTTACCTTTTGGTTTATTTATTTCGAGACATCTCACAACCGGAGTCAATTCGTGAGCATAACCCCGCCGTACCCAAAATGGGATCCCATCCGTCCATGCAGAAGCAGTTTTCTTGATAGTGGCGAGTGACTTAAAAACTTGAAATGATGTAAGCTGTGGAACATCCATGTCACAAATCACATTTTTGGCGTTTTTTTTGCACAGATTGTTGGTAAGTGATATTTTGTAATCGCGGATTCTGAGCTACCCCCTATTTGTCGACCGTCCCTAAAGCAGTCAAGAATAGTTGTGTTTTGACATGTGAAAAGCTGCAAATTTAATTTGCAGATGAGATGGCCAGGAGGAATTTGACACCATGCATCTAAATACAAAATACAACTAGTAGGCAAAGATTTATAGTTTTTTCCTGAAATTTTAGGTTTTTGTTAGTTAAAAACATATACCTGTCGATGCTGTATATATATTTTATTATTTTCATATTTGTTGTCTTTGATTATAAATGACTAAACACCTCGTCTTTTTCTTGAAATACTATCCAAAACTCTGTTAGTATAAAAACGTGCTGTAGAGTATAGTTTCACTAACCAAGACTCAAGAGAGCATTTTTTTACAATTGTTTTCTTTGCAAATGTTTCGGACTTTGCTCTCGCGTGACCTTTTTTTCCCGCTTTATACAAACGTACAATGCCATATAATAAAAAACTTAATGACCTAGCTAAACCGTTCGGACAGTATGGGAAAATATCCAATCTCGGTCTTGCTGTATTGGCCTCGCTAGCTATCGCTCGGTCAATACAGCAAGACCTCGGTTGGATATTTTCTCGCACTGCCCTCACTCTCGGTCAGTAAGTTATTATTAGAGGTTCAGATATGACTTCTACTACCGCCATACCATTAAGAGATCATCAACCAATCAGATGCGTTTGATATATTCGATTAACCAATCAGATACGTGCTGAGCCAGTGAGAGGCAAATCTGAACCTCTATATTATAGGCTTTTCTCGTTTTACAATTACGACGTCATAGGCCCCCCCTGCGAAAGGTGTGCCCCGGGCCCCGCGTAACCTTTCGGCGATCCTGACCGGCTTACTACATAACAACCTCCCCCATGAAAATTCAACTATACCTTCGCCAACTCTCTTGCTAACCCCAAAGTCCGCTAAACGAATATTCCACCGAACATCAACCAACACATTATCAGGCTTCAAATCACGATGTAATATCATTCCTTCATTTCCTTGCTTATGCAAAATCTTTAGTCCAGTCAGGATCTCTCTGATTATTTTTTGCGGGTCAAAAGGGATTTGGGGATCATCACGGGCTCTGTTCACATATTCTGTAAGGGAGAACTCGCAAAGTTCCAAAACAATATACGTGAATGTAGCTTCTGGTCGATAATGAAGATATCGTACAACGTGCGGAGATGTCTCCATATGTAGCATATTGTATATCTGAGTTTCATTCTCAGCCAAATGTTCACAGTTGTCTGTCAACATACATTTTACTGCGACCTCCTTGCCATCTGCAAGTCTTAACCCGGCGTAAACACATGTTCCATCAGAAGTGGGACGACCTACTTTGAATTCATCTTTTGGGCACATAACATATCCATCAATTCTCCTGATTTGATCTTCAGATATAATTTGTAATCTGTGAAATTTTGATTCATGCCGGACAGATCTCTTACTCCAACGAAACCCTAAAAGAAAGCATGGTCATGTGAACATTAATAGACGATCGGCCAAGCTTAAAGTGCCCCTGACACAAAAATTGATTTTTTGTGTAGTGAAAGTACACATTATGTGGAGTGTTTTGGTGAAAGAATTTTTTTATTTCATTGAAACGAAAAAATTTTAGAGCCGTTTGAACACGCAAAATGTGGGCTTTTTGTTGGCACGCGTCCGTGTTCGAAGGAAACTGGAACGAGCGATTTTTGTTACGTCACGCAAGTGAGTCGGGGTATTCTATAATTTATTCGACTGGTACTAACTCTTGGCGCATATAGTCCATATAAAGACCATATACAAATATACTAGATTTGTGATAAAAAAAATATATGCCTTTTTACTATGTTGCAGCTAACTGTACCAATAAACCATGTTTAAAAGATGGAATAAGTTTACACAATATTCCATACTTCAATAACGAACGCGCGGAAGCTAAAAGACGAAGAAAAGTATGGGTTGGTTTTATATCCGCAAAACGTTTGTTTGTGCCGTCAAAGCTAGACTTCGACTATATGCTCGGATCATTTTTGACCAGAGGATTACGAGAGGCGATTCTTTTCGTGTCTTTCGTTGACGGGGCTCGGCAAGCCTAACTATCCGAAGCTATTAAAGACTGACGATAATTTGCTTTGTTTTGATGATTCAATTTCGGTTTTACGGGCCCGCTAATAATATAAATATTTTGTAATACCGAAATGAACAGTGGCGGCGCCAGGGGGGGGGGGGGCAAGGGCGGCAAATGCCCCCCCAAAATTATTTTTTGCCCCCCCAAAAATTAATCACTAAGAGCGACTAAAGGCTACACAAGCGTTCTGTCGTTATCGGACAATGTATGGCTTATAAGTTGTCATTACTCATTAGTGAATGCGCGTATACATGAAACTGTTTTTTACAGTTTCAATATTAGTTTGTAAATCTCTGAATGGTAAAACTTGCCAATACTCCAATAATACGTTTCAAAAAAAGACAAAAAAGCTTTAGTTTTGCAGAGTTAAATTCTCAAACGTGTAAGGCACTAATAAGATGAAAGTATCACGAAATTATTTGAATAAACCACATCGCATATATGGGGGGCGAATGTCCTAAAGAGGGGCGATATTCCTAGGGTATTCGCCCCACCCCCTGGGAGGCGATATTCCTAGGATATTCGCCCCCCGGGGGAGATATTCCTAGGAATATCGCCACGTTTTGAGGGGGGGGGAATTTCCTGGGGGGGCGACCTTTTTAAAAATTCTATCTTGCCCCCCAAAAATTTGAGTTTGCCCTCAAATGCCCCCCCAAATTTGGAAGCCTGGCGCCGCCACTG